GGCGCGACGGGGCCTAGGAGGGCGGTACAGGGCCCAGGAGGGGCGCTACGAAGCCCAGGAGGGGCGCGACGAGGCCCAGGAGGGGCGCTACGGGGCCCAGGAGGGGCGCGACGGGGCGCTACGGGGCCTGGGAGGAGCGCGACGGGGCCCAGGAGGGGCGCTAGAGGGCCTGGGAGGGGCGCGACGGGGCCTGAGGGGGGGGGGGGATCCTACCTACGCGTGATACCATATCAGAAATTAGAATTGAATGATAGTAATGTGAGAGTACACACAAATATATCTAAGTTTTGTATCCTCTAAGAGGTGACTCTATACAGTCTATACAAACATGACAAATACACATGTTTGACAGTTCTCCCCCCCCCTTCCCCCACCCCCCGAGGCTGTGTGAGGGCGCTGATTGGCCCTTGGTCAAAAAAATCTCCGCGCTGTATGTTGGAGGTCATGTGAGGAAGGTGTGCTGAGGACTGTGTGAGGGCAATTGCTGGCCCTTTGCCGAATTTGCTTGATGTGCGCCTGCCCTAGGGCTCTGCGAGGGACGAGATTCCCTCCGCCCCTGCAATCTCGTCGCCTCCCCCCTTATTCAGCCCTTCCCCCCTCTCCCCCCCACCAATTGTCGTTTCCTGCCCATCCCCCAATCTCGCCACACACGCGCGAATTCGCTATGAATTCCCAGCACCCCCAAAAACCAAGACTTGAACACACAAAGTTCATAAACTATCACATAACATGTATAGAAAGATTGAAAAATCAGTTTTTTTTATAAAGTAATTCTGATGGCTCATGATTTTTTTTTAGGGGACCCTGAAAATTCAGACTTTTCTGCAGGGAGAATCCTGATGGATCAGGAAGCCTCAAAACCAATCTAGGGCCCTGCTCCAGTCCCTTCCTACTGGCTTTGGACAATTGACCCGGCTGAAGAACCTTGACTTGCAGGGTTGTAAGCAGCTGGAGGGTCTTCCAGACGATTTCACTAATCTCAAGCTGCTGCAGTACTTGGATGTTACAGGATGCAAGAATGTGTTCGATCGTGCAGGCCACATTCAGCCCCGTGGTGTTGCTGCCATCTATGACTTGATGATCAGGCATCATTCTAGAAGATGAGGTTACACTATGCAGGCTTCCAGATTTGATAGGTGTAGGTGCCCTCAGTATCTGATCTGATCTGAACTAGTCAAGTAGTGCACACAAAAAACCCACTTGTGCAGAAGGTTAATCCTACTCTGTTGAGGCTGCGTATTTCTGGGGAATATGTATGATGCCACTGGTTTGGGGGCACACTTGGTTTGTTGAAGTGCCTTTATGTGCGTCTTGGCTTGGTTTGTTGAAGTCTAGACGTCATGACGTATGTTATGAACGATCTGTTTCAATTGGCCAAACGACAAGGTTTGTGCACGCAGTTCAACTACCGTAAACGCCCGGATATAAGACCGGTTTTATTGAAGACCCATAGGGTAGGTCTTTTGGCGGGTAGGTCTTTTATTATGGTCATCGACTAACAAGACCCTCCCTAAAGGTTGTAGATGGGTTTGGACCCCCCTACTTGGTTTTTTTCATGAATTCAAGCCTAAAATTGTGCACTACAATAACAACTTCCTACTGGTACATGGCACACTTAGTTAGGGAACCAGTCAGCAACTAAAACACGAGATTATTGCACTACCACATACCGGTACTACATATTCAGCGGGCTACACAAGACTGTCGGAATACCCTCTACGCCTACAGCATCTTCCACACCCACTCGTAGTTGCCGCACGTTACAGGCTCTGGCTCTTCATCCTCGTGGTCGTCGTTAGTATCTTCAGCAACCGAGTCGCCATAATCTTCCTCCATGGCAGAGATGCGTTGTGCCAGCGTCATGTGAGGCAGTGGCTCGAATGCGTCAGCAGCAGGCTCTGGTTCAGCGATTGACGCTGGTGGCTCTTCCGTCAAGTCTTCAAACGGGTCGCAGGCCAGAATGTCTTCAGGCACCGCAGGGTCCGGCAACGGCTCGTCGTCGTCGTCTGCACCACCATCGTCATCGTCGGCAGCATCGTCTTTTTCCTCGTCAGCGTTCTGCGGGACAGCGGTGTTGTCGCCATCCGCCCCCGCCGCGCCGACATCGTCGTTGACTTCGACTTCGTCAGGGGCCTGCTGCTTGAGATGGCGGAGGATCATATGGTCCTCCAAACCATCCAGTGCAATGGAGATGCCGGTGACTTTGAACGCTTTCTAGATAAGCGCCACTGGCACCTTCGCCCAAGATCTTCCCACCCAGCGAATAACCTCCTCAGGGGGAGGCTTCTTCAGGTTCCCTACGGTGCGGGGGAGAGGATTAAATAGGAGTGCGTTAGTATTGGTTGAAAACACATCAAGTGTAAGCATCTCATGAGTGGTGCTTGACTGTGAGCATATGGATTTGCGCATTCTCACCAGCTCTGGTGAAAGTGTTGACGCCGACAGTGGCGAACCAATCTTTATACTCTGCCCGCACGGAAGCTTTGAATGACTTGAACACACACACATCGAGAGGCTGTAGAACCGAGGTGCACCCAGCCGGAATGATGGCGGGAGTCAACTTGAACAGGCGCATAGTCTGCTTGACTCCCTCCGTCAAGTGCCCCCGCAACGACTCGAGCACGACCAGGCTGGCGGGGCGAGGCCTCCCAGGCTGGGGAGCGACATGTGGTGCAAGGACTCGGGTTATCCAGTCCTGCACCATATGCTCGTCCATCCAACCTCTCGGCTGCGCACGGATGATGACATCTGTGCAGACAAGAAAAGCAACATTAAAATTAGGACGCATGGCGTTGTCATGAAATGAAGAACATGTCGACCCCGCATGGTAACAAAAAACGCGTGAACATACTCGATGGGACTGGGATGGAAGGCGGGCGGACGCGCTTGAAGACGACGTACGCGGGCAGCTTCTAGCCCGCAGCCGTGCATGCTAGCATGATGGTTACGCGCTCTTTTTCGTAACCGGCGGTCCTGACGTGCACGGTTTTGATACCCCTGTGCTCGACCGTGCGCTCGGTTGGCATTTCCAGGAATAACGCCGTCTGGTCGGCGTTGATCATGAGGGTGTTGGGGATGGCCCTGTTGAATATCTGCTTGCGGCAGAAACGCCAGAAACTCTGGGCCTTCGGCTTTATATCTGCCAGGCATGGGAGGCACGGGGAAGGACGGAAGACGAGTAAGCATTAGGCTGTTGCACAAGGACAGAAGCGAAAGATGCAGTAGCAGCATGGAAAACACGTGCAATATTAAACCGAGGAGAGAAGTCGAATTCGAATGGTGAACTCACCGTCGGCCAGGCGTTGGCCAATCTGTCTTTACCCTTACTGACAGACCCCACCGTGCACGCATGCGCTGAGACCATCGAGACGACGCCTTCCAGTCGACTGATGGGTGGTTCTTGGCCATTTAGTTCAGGCTCCAGCGACGGATGAGGTTGACCGACACGGGAAGCCCGCGGGTCTGATGATGTAGCAGCTTCCTATATACCCAAATTTCCATGTCTGCGTACAGCGACCGTCGCCCGCCGCCATGGAGCCGCTTACGGCAGGTCGTAGCTTTCTCGAGTCGCGGGCGGTCTTTGATCCACCTGCGCACGCAAACAAGCTGGACACCCGCCTTTTTAGCGGTGGCACAAGTGGAGAGCTGGTTAGCATCCATGTAATCCAACCACGCCAGCTTCTCCTTCATGGTTCTCGCGCGCCGAAGACCTTTCGAGGCGCGGGACCTTGGCGAGGGGGGGGATGCGTCGTAGTTAACCTCCCAGTCCTCGCGTGACCTGCGTCCAGTCGGGTAAGAGGGGATAGGAATATGGGGCTCGTCGTCGTCAGACATGTTTTCAGCTTCAACGGAGTTATCGGCAGCACCCACGCCCGTCGCATCCTCGGCATCGCCCTCGTCGAAGACGCCGTCGAAATTCGCGCAAGGATCGGGCCATTCTTGGTCACGATAATGCAAGGCCAAAGGAAGGTTGGGAGGCGCCGGCAGGGCAGGTGGCGCTGGCAGCGCTGGAGGTGCGGGAGGAGTGGGAGGCGCTGGTGCGGCATAAACCCATCGGTCAAGCGTTTGTGAGCGTGGGTTATGGCCCTTGATAATGGCCGCAAGCCCACTCCTGGTCACTGGAGGCATTGCGCTGGAGGCTGAGCTAAGTTGGTTTCTACTGTCGCGAATTCACACCAGGATCCCACAACATGGGTGCCATAAATCCAGATGACGATACTGGCGTACGAGTCGCAGAAAGCGACAGCTCTGTGAGCGAGAGAACGGAGTGCCTGAGTGAAGACGGCTTGGTAGATTGCAAGCATTAGCCAGCAAGGCCCGTGAGAGATGGCGAGCGAGCTGGACGTGACTCTAGTCTCGTTCCCTCCAAAAGGCCACCACGTTCAAGGCAAGAGAGTCGTGGGAGGGAAGCACTCCTCCCTCCCCCTCGACGCAGACGCATGGGACCACTTCAGTTGTGCCCCGCCACAAGACCAGGAATCTTTTCTCTCGGCCGTCGATGCGGCAGAGTAGAGACCCTGGTCGTCGATGTCTGTCAAGTCTGCATGCCAGCGTTGCATATCATCTTGACGGCATCGAAGATGGGAGTTGGTCGATTCCAGTGGAATCTTCTCTCGTTAAGTGTAAATGCTGCCGCCACCTGCATTTCCCATTGGCTGCAGCCTTCATTTGAGCTCCAGGGTGTCCAAATCCAGCCACACAGCTGTCGAGGTGGAATTCGCTCTGGTAGATGCAGGAATCTATCAACATCTGCGATAGCATGGACGCATTTCGAAACGGGGTCTGATACACGCTTTAAATAAATGAATCCCCTATAAAACGAGAAAGGTCCCGGGCCGGGTATTGTAATTCCACGTTTCCTTAATAGACTCACCCCCATTTTTTTGTAGGATAAGAAAAAAGACCCTAGGGTAATATATCGGGGCGTTTAAGGTACCTTATAGCGAGAGAATGCCCCTAATTGAACTGACACATTCCTTAGTTCAGGCTCTAGAGTCTAGATTCACGCAGAAATCGCACGCGTACTAATCTAGGTAGACAAGCCCCATACCGCGCAGTACGGTGCAGTGCGGTGTGGTACGGCGCAGTTCGGCGCGGTTACATACTAAGCCTCTGATCTTTATAACTCCGAATCTGGCGGCATTCCACCACTATGGCAGTGCCAGCGACGCCTGACTCCGTCAGGCACGTTCCTTCTGACCCCGTCGCAGCGGCGCTGGCGGCGGCAGCAGCGGCGAGCCCAACCGTGAAGCGCGCCGAGCTGAGAGCCGCCGTGAGGGAGCTTCGCGACCGTTGCCTTTTCCAGGCGTCCGCGTGGTGAGTCACGGGCCTGTCAGGCATCCTGCCGGTGAGTTAGTGCGTGGATTCTGCTCCTCCCAAACTAGCAGTGAGGGAGCTTCGCGATCGGTGTCTCTTTCAGGCGTCCGCGTGGTGAGTCAGGGGTTCGCGAGCCATTGATGCCTATCCAATCTCATAGCGAGGGTTCTTTTTAGGGAGAACTTCGCTATAAGCATGACGTCCTGATCCTCTCCCTCTCCCCGCCCTCCCAGTGCTCCTTATTATTGCTAATCTTGCTTTAAAACATCCAAAGACGGTTCCTTCCTTTGAAGTTTGAACCACAGTACTCATTTTACGCTATGTCCCTACATTCCTACCTATTTCTATGTTTCACTCTGTCTCTGTATTTTCAGGGCAGCAGAGCAGCTCGTAGGCCTACCTGCCGTGCCCTCTCAGCAACCCCCAGAAGCAGCACCAGCAGACACCAGAGAGCAGAGAGGAGGAGAAGCGCAAGCAGGAGAAGCCAAAGCAGCTCAGCAGACCGAGAAGGCATACGCAGGAGAAGCAGCAGAGGCGAAAGGAGAGGCAACAGGGGCGAAAGGAGGGGCGGACGGAGAGACCAAGGGTGGGGTGAGAGGGGAGCAAGCGGAGGAGGAGGATGCGGACGAGGTGTTGTTTGCGCGGTCGCTCTTTGATGTGAGGGAGTTCCGACGGGCAGCACATGTCCTGCAAGGGGTGGCGGGGAGAACAGCGCTGTTTTTAAGGAATTATGCCCTGTACCTGGTGAGATGGGAATTATGCACTGTACCGGGTGAGATGAGAAGGGCATACCTTGATTTGACGCGCTCTCAAATGCACTCTCTTTGATGTGAGGGAGTTCCTATGTGCAGCGCACGTGCTGCAAGGGGTGGTGGGGCGGAGAGCGCTGTTTTTTAAGAAGTATGCACTGCACCTGGTGAGTCAGAAAGGTCTGCATGCACTGGGTTTGATTCGTCTCAAAAGTTGTTTTTAAGGAGCTATGCACTGTATTTGGTGAGTCAGAAACGTGTGCACGCACTTGGGACGTGGAGGAGGAAACGGAGGAGGAGAGGGAGGAGAAAGATTCGGGCGAGGTGTTGTTTGGCGAGGGTTTTATGCAGGAAAAAAAAAGAGGCTGGAAATGTTGAGACTGTGTTTATGCACAGCAATGCGATGCAGTGCACCGAACCCAGTAGGAATTAAAAGCAGCAGTAAAAAAAAAAGACGCTGACTACTGTGTCTGTCTTTCCGCATTTTCCCGTGATGCTTCTCTTTCTAGCCCCTCTTATTTCCCCTCCCTTCGTCCTTGTTTTTCTCCCTTTCCTCCACCCTTTTCCTGCCCATCCGTTCAGGCAGGGGAGAAGCGCAAAGAAGAGATCATTCTTGAGACCTCCTCCCAGCAGCAAACCCTCCCCAGCACCCATCAGCAGCACCCGCCCATCACTCCTCTCGCTTGTCGTTTTTACCCCACCCGTTTTCCCACCTCGCCCCTTCGCCCCTTCGCCCCATCCCTCTTCCCTATCCCCTTTACTGCCCGTTCAGGCAGGGGAGAAGCGCAAGGAGGAGATCATTCTAGAAACCTCCTCCCAGCAGCAAACCCTTTCGAGCACCCACCAGCAGCATCCTCCCATCAGTCCCCTCCCTTTCCCCTCTCGCGCCCCTCCTTTTTGCCCTCGACTGACCAATGCAGGCAGGGGAGAAGCCCAAGGAAGAGATCATCCTCGAGACCTCCTCCCAGCAGCAGACCCTTCCCACGCGAGCACCCACCAGCAGCAATCCGCCCATCACTCACCACCCATCACTTCCCCCTCACCTTCTGTTTCTTTGTTCAGGCAGGGGAGAAGTGCAAGGAGGAGATCATTCTCGAGACCTCCTCCCAGCAGCAGAACCTGCCCAGCACCCAGCAGCAGCAGCACCCGCCCATAGCCCCCCACCCCTCCACCTCTTCCCCCGACAATTCCGACTCTCCTGTGGCCAATCCCGAGCTGCCACGCGTCCTGGCTGAGCTGGAGCGGGAGCGGGCGGCGGGGAGGCTGGATGCTTGGGGGAGGTATCTTCTGGGGGTGGTGTTGGCGCAGAGAGGGAGGGAGGGGGAGGCGCGGGCGGTGCTGTGTGAGAGCGTGAGGGAGTACCCGTGGAACTGGGCGGCATGGCAACAGATCGAGGTGAGAGGAGGGGAGAGGAGGGGGAGTGGAGTTGAGGGCGTTGATGTATTCAACATGCATGGCTCTACTCTACATGTCTTGTATGCGTGCTGTGTGAGAGTGTGAGGGAGTACCGCTGGAACTGGTCGGCCTGGCAACAGATAGAGGTGAGGGGAGGGGATAGGGGAGGGTGAACTCCAAATAACCCCTCCTCTCATCTTCTCTCATCTCCTCCCATCTTCTCCCATCTTCTCCCATCTCCTCCCCCCCCTCCCCCTCCCCCCCCCTCTCCCAACCCCCCCCCTCTCCCAACCCCCACTCCCCCTCGGTCCCTGACTACCTGTGTCTAGACTACGTCGCCTACCTCGCTCTTTTCCCCTCCCTCCGTTCGTCCATTTTGAATCTCTTTCCAGTGGACTCAAGCGTTTACCCCTAGTTCCCCCTTCCCCACTCCCCCCCCCCGTTTCCTCCCCCTCCCCGCCCCCACTCCCCCTTCAGTCTCTGTGTGTCTAGACTAAGATTCCTACCTCTTCCTCTTCCCCTCCCTTCCCTCCGATGTTACTTTTGAGCTGACAGGACAGGAGGATCTTTTCCGCCCATCTTCTCCTCTCCTCCCCCCCACTCCCCTCACAGGCCCTGTGCCTAGACTACGACACCTACCTCTCGCTCCTCCCCGCCCTCCCCACTCACTGGATGACCCTCTTCTCCCTCTCCTCCCTCCTCCTCTCCCTCCACCGCAACTCCGAAGCCCTCACTCTCTGCCTCCACCTCGCCTCCCCCCCTTCCTCCTCCCCCTCCCCCTCCTCCTCTCTCTCAACTGGTGAACCAGGGAGGGGTGATGAAATTAGTGAGAGGAGAGGAGGGGCAGCAGCAGCAGCAGGAGGAGAAGGAGAAACAGCAAGAGGGCTAGGGGACGGAGGAGGAGGAGGAGGAGGAGGAGGAGGAGGGGGAGCAGGAGGGGGGGAGGGAGGGGGAGGGGGAGGGTTTCCTCACAGCACCTGGGTGGCAGCAGCAACAGCGACAGCTCACTACAACCTGAGGGACTTTGACTCGGCAGAAGCAGTGTTCACAGAGTTGACTTCCGTTGACCCGTGTAGACTGGAGGCCATGGACACGTTTTCCAACATATTATACGTCAAGGAGGACTTTGCGGGGCTCAGCCACCTGGCACACAGGGTGAGTGGGGGGGTTGACCAGCGTTGACTGGGCGTTGACCCGTGCAGGCTGGAGGCCATGCCACTGCTGTACCGCCCTGAGACGTGCTGCTTCGTGGGTATCTATGTCTCCCACTGCTGAGCAGCCGTGCGGTACCACTGCTGCTTAGTGGGCATCTATGTCTCCCACAAGGGCCTTCTACTTCCCTCTCCCCACCATTTGACCATTCCTAAAGTGGGCGTGCTGCATAGTGGGCAACTACGTCTCGCGCAAGTACCATTCCCTCCATTCCCTCCATTCCCTCTTTTCCCGCCATTCCCTCCATTCCCTCCATTCCCTCCATTCCCTCCATGACGGGCCATTCAGGCCCGTCATCCCCTGCATTCCCACTTTTTCTCTCCCATTGTATTTTGAGTCGACTCAAAATACATACCCACTTTTTCTCTCCCATTGTTCCGCTTTCCCTATCTCCAGGTGACCCACATGGACAAGTCTATTTTTGAGGCGCCTCAAAAGTAGACCCCTATCTCCGGTGACCCACATCGACAAGTACCGCCAGAAAACGCGCTGCATCGTGGGCAACTACTTCTCCCTCATGGGCCATTCAGGCCCGTGATCCTCTCCATACCCACTTTCTCTCTGTCAGTGTCCCGCATTCCCTATCTCCAGGTGACCCACATCGACAAGTACCGCCTCGAGTCAAGACTCAAGACGTGCTGCATAGGGGGCAACTACTTCTCCTTCAAGAGCCGCCACGAGCGCGCAGTCGCCTACTTCCGCCAGGGCTTTAAGGCTCGACCGCCGCTACCTGTCGGCGTGGACGCTCATGGAACACGAGTATGTGGAGCTGAAGGGAGGAAGAAACAGCAAACTCTGCAGGGTGACGCAGGCTTTTCCCAGGCCCCTGTGCACCCACCTTTTCTCCCCTTGTCACCTGCATTTCCCCCTGTTCAGATTTTTGAGGCGCCTCAAAAATCCCCTTGTCACCTGCATTTCCCCCTGTTCAGGTGACCCGAATCGACAAGTATTGCCCTGCGATGTGCTGCATCGTGGTCAACTACTTCTTCCTCGAGGATCGTTATGGTCTCTCATTCCATCTCACCCTCCCTCCTCGTTTCTCACTCGCATTCCCCTATCCTCCCCTCAGGTCACTCGGATAGACAAGTACCGCCCTGGGACGTGCTGCATCGTGGGCAACTACTTTTCCCTCAAGGGCCTTTGGCCTCCCTCCCCCCCTCTTTCCTCTCTCCCATTCACCCTGACTCCTCCCCCCCCCCCCCCCCCTTCTCCAGGTGACCTGCATAGACAAGTACCGTCCTGAGACGTGCTGCATTGTGGGCAACTACTTCTCCCTCAAGGGCCGCCACGAGCGCGCAGTCGCCTACTTCCGCCGCGCCTTGCGCCTCGACCGCCGCTACCTGTCGGCGTGGACGCTCATGGGGCACGAGTACGTGGAGCTGAAGAACAGCGCGGGGGCGATTCAGTCGTACCGGCGGGCCGTGGATATCAACCCGAGGGACTACCGCGCGTGGTACGGGCTCGGGCAGACGTACGAGATCCTCGCCATGCCCTGCTACGCGCTCTACTACTACCGGTGAGTCTAGTCTAGAGCCAGCTTTTATTCCAGTAGGTTGGTGATTGGGGGTTAGGCAGTGTGGGTTTGGGGCTCGGGCAGACGTACAAGATTCTCGCCATGCCCTGCCACGCGCTCTACTAGTACCGGTGAGTGTTGGGACAAGTGATGCCTGGTGACTGCTGGGTTGACTCAACGGTCACATAGAAGGGGCTCGGGCAGACGTATGAGATCCTCGCCATGCCCTGCTATGCACTCTACTACTACCGGTGAGTTGAGTGTGGCACCATGCCACACTGTGCCACACCGTGCCACACCATGCGGCACTCTACCATCTCTGGCAGCCTGCCATGCCCTTCTACGTGCACTTCTACTATCAGTGATTCTTGCAGATGGTTTAAGGGGATTCAGCAGCTGGTCGTGGCTGGAGGCGCTTCAAAAGGTGGGGTTATCTGCCACGTATTATTCAAGCTGTCTGCCACGCATTATTCAAGCTGTCTGCCACGCATTATTCAAGCTGTCTGCCACGCATTATTCAAGCTGTCTGCCACGCATTATTCAAGCTGTCTGCCACGCATTATTCAAGCTGTCTGCCACGCATTATTCAAGCTGTCTGCCACGCATTATTCAAGCTGTCTGCCACGCATGATTCAAGCTGTCTGCCACGTATGATTCAAGCTGCCTGCCACGCATGATTCAAGCTGTCTGCCACGTATGATTCAAGCTGTCTGCCACATATGATTCAAGCTGTCTGCCACGTATGATTCAAGCTGTCTGCCACGTATGATTCAGGCTCCCAAACCCAGCAGCCTGCAGCATCTCTCCAGTGCTTCCGTCCTCCAGAGCAGCCTCGCTCCTTCTTCTCCCTGCTTCCTTGACACTCCACTTCACCCCCTGCAGAAAAGTTGAGTTTTGAGAATTCTCAAGTTGTAGGTGACTTTTGAGAATTCTCAATAATCAGCCTGCAGCAGCTATCCGGTGCTTCCGCCCTTGCTCCTCCTCTTCCCTTTTACCCGACACTTCACCCCCTACAGAAAAGCCCCCCCCTGCGGCCCCACGACTCGCGCATGTCGTGTGCCATGGGGCAGTGTTGCGAGGCGCAGCAGCTGCAGCAACCCCAAGCAGCCATCCGGCGCTATCGCCCACTCTCCCTCTCTCACTCGTGTCTTATCTTCCCTATCCCAAACAGAAAAGCGGCCTCCCTGCGACCCCACGACTTGCGCATGTGGTGTGCCATGGGGCAGTGCTACGGAGCCCAGCAGCTGCAGCAGCCAGCAGCGGCCATCCGGTGCTATCGCCCACTCTCCATCTCCCTCCCCTGCCGTATATTCCCTCCCCCTTATTCCCTGGAGTAAAGGGGCATCCCTTCGGCCCCACGACTCGCACATGTGGTGTGCCATGGGGCAGTGCCACGAGGCGCAGCAGCAGCTGCAGCAGCCACCAGCGGCCATCCGGTGCAATCACCTACTCTCCCTCTCCCTCCTGTGCCTTATCTTCCCTATCATCTATCCCTGCAGGAAAGCGGCCTCCCTGCGACCCCACGACTCGCGCATGTGGTGTGCCATGGGGCTGTGCTACGAGGCCCAGAAGCTGCAGCAGCCCCGAGCAGCCATCCGGTATCATCGCCTTACTCACGCCCTTTGCCCCCCCCATGTCCTGTCTTCCTATCCCCTGCAGAAGAGCGGCCTCCCTGCGACCCCACGACTTGCGCATGTGGTGTGCCATGGGGCAGTGCTACGAAGCCCAGCAGCTGCAGCAGCCCCAAGCGGCCATCCGGTGCTATCGCCCACTCTCCCTCTCCCTCGCGTGCCATATCTTCCCTCCCTCTTTTCCCCTGCAGTAAAGCCGCTTCTCTCCGGCCCCACGACTCCCACATGTGGTGTGCCATGGGGCAGTGCTATGAGGCTCCGCAGCTGGAGCAACCCCAAGCAGCCATGCACTCTTGTCTCCTGCTCACCTGCTGTGCCACCATCTCCTTGCAGAAAAGCGGCCTCTCTCCCATGTGGCCCGTCCCCATGAATCGCACATGTGGCCATCAGCCATCCGGTTCTATGCGCCACCCTCCCTCTCCCCCCCCGTGTCTTATCCTACTACCCCAAACAGGAAAGCAGCCTCCCTGCGGCCCCACGATTCCCGCATGTGGTGTGCCATGGGGCAGTGCTTCGAGGCGCAGCAGCTGCAGCAACCAGCAGCGGCCATCCGGTGCTATCCTGTTACTCACTCCCTCTGTTCCTCCCGTCTTCCCACCCCTCATCCATCCAGAAAAGCAGCCCCCCTGCGGCCCCCCTGCGGCCCCCCTGCGGCCCCACGACTCGCGCATGTGGTGTGCCATGAGACAGTGCTACGAGGCACAGCAACTGCAGCAGCAACCAGCAGCAGCCGTACACTGCTGTCTCCTGCTCGCCTGCTGTGCCACCATCTCCTTCTGGTGTCCCATGGGGCTGCAGCAGCCCCAAGCAGCCATCGCCTTCCTGTGCCGTACCTTCCCTCCCCCCTATCCCCTGCAGTAAAGCGGCCTCTCTGCGACCCCACGACTCGCGCATGTGGTGTGCCATGGGGCAGTGCTACGAGGCTCAGCAACTGCAGCAGCCCCAAGCAGCCGTCCGGTGCTATCGCCGCGCCATCGCCAGCAATGAGAGCGAGGGGCTGGCGCTGCACAAGCTGTCTAAACTCTATGAGGGCATGGGGCAGATGAGGCATGCGGCGCACTTTTACAAGTAAGTTCAGAGGAGAAAAGCGCACAGAAATTGGGGGGGTGGGGAGCAGCAGTTGAGAGAAAGGGGCTGCTCAAGCTGTCGAAGCGCTACGAGGTGATGGGGCAGGTGAGACATGCAGCCCCCTTTTACTAGTGAGTGTTGCTGGGCATGGACGCAAAACCAGAGTGTTGATGGGCATGGACTCAAAACCAGAGTGTTGATGGGCATGGACTCAAAAGCAGAGTGTTGCTGGGCATGGACTCAAAAGCAGAGTGTTGCTGGGCATGGACTCAAAAGCAGAGTGTTGCTGGGCATGGACTCAAAAGCAGAGTGTTGCTGGGCATGGACTCAAAAGCAGAGTGTTGATGGGCATGGACTCAAAAGCAGAGTGTTGATGGGCATGGACTCAAAAGCAGAGTGTTGATGGGCTGGGGAGTGGGAAAAGGGGCTGGTGCGGTAGAATCGCCGGCAACGAGAGCGAGGGGCTGGCCCTGCACTAGCTGTCGAAGGGCAGATGAGGCGTGCTGCCCACTTCTACAAGCAAGAAGGGGGTGAGGGATAAGGGAGTAAGGTTGGGGGGAGGGGCTGGCCCTGCACAAGCTGTCGAAGCTGTATGAGGGCATGGGGCAGATGAGGCACGCTGCAAATTTCTTCAAGTGAGTTAAGGGGTGGGAGGTGTGAGTTGGAGATTGGAGGCTGGCTTTTGAGTTGACTCAAAAGTCACGTCGTTTTTAGTCGACTCAAAAGTCACGTAGCAAGTAAAATGGCGGGAGGTGTGATTTGGAGATGAGAGACTGGCCCTGCACAAGCTGTCTGCACTGTATGAGGGCAGCAGGCGGGCAGATGTGACGTGTGGCTCATTTGTACATGCGAGTGTTGAGGGGTATGGGAGTGGGGAAAAGGAGCTGCGAGGGAAGGGGAGTCCCCTTCTAGCTGCCCAAGGGAGGGGATGATCGCCAGCTATGAGAGCGAGGGGCTGGCCCTGCACTAGCTGTCGAAGCTGTACGAAGGCATCGGGCAGATGAGGCGTGCTGCGCACTTTTACAAGTAAGAAGGAGGTGGGGGATAAGGGAGTAAGGTTGGGGGGAGGGGCTGGTGCTGCACTAGCTGTCGAAGCTGTGTGAAGGCATTGGGCAGATGAGGCGTGCTGCCCACTTTTACGAGTGAGTTCAGAGCAGAAAGGGAAGGAAGTTGGGAAGAGCATTTTGAGAGCGAGGGGACTGGCACTGCTCAAGCTGTCGAAGGAATACGAGGGCGTGGCATTCAGCTCATTTTTACAAGTGAGCAAGGGGTGGGTAAAGGGGTGGGTAAAGGGGTGGGTAAAGGGGTGGGTAAAGGGGTGGGTAAAGGGGTGGGTAAAGGGGTGGGTAAAGGGGTGGGTAAAGGGGTGGGTAAAGGGGTGGGTGAAGGGGTGGGTGAAGGGGTGGGTAAAGGGGTGGGTAAAGGGGTGGGTAAAGGGGTGGGTAAAGGGGTGGGTAAAGGGGTGGGTAAAGGGTGGGTAAGGGGTGGGTAAAGGGGTGGGTAAAGGGGTGGGTAAAGGGGTGGGTAAAGGGGTGGGTAAAGGGGTGGGTAAAGGGGTGGGTAAAGGGGTGGGTAAAGGGGTGGGTAAAGGGGTGGGTAAAGGGGTGGGTAAAGGGGTGGGTAAAGGGGTGGGTAAAGGGGTGGGTAAAGGGGTGGGTAAAGTGGGGAAGTGGGGAATAGCCCCAGGCGGCCATCTGGTGCTATCGCCACGCCATCACCACCAACGAGAGCGAGGGGCTGGCGCTGCACCAGCTGTCGAAGATCTTCGAGGGCGTGGGGCAGATGTTGCTTGCGGCTCTCTTCTACAAGTGGGCAGCAGGTGGAGGATAGGGAGGTGGGGTGTGGGTGTGTAGCAGGTGGGCGAGGGGCTGGCTCTGCACAAGGGGTGCTGCATAAGGGGTGCTGCACAAGCGGTGCCCCTCACTTCAACGTCACAAGCAGATGCGGCATGCGGCTCTCTTCTACGAGTCAGTTGAGAGGGAAAAACGCACGCGGACGAGAGCACAATGTGGCGCAAGCATGCAGATCCTTATTAAGTGCGATGATCCCGATTAACTGAAGGCTCTTGTGTTCCCATCAGCTGCATTCCCATTCCCCAATCTGCTGTATGTGCTCCCCCTACGCCAGGCGCAATTTGGACCGCATGGACGGGGAGCAGGTGGAGGGGCCGGAGCTGGTGGAGGCACTTCTCTTCCTGGCCACGTACCACCGCTCCCAGGGGGACTTTGCCGAGGCCGAGAGATACTCCACACGCCTGCTGGACTTTGGCGGCCCTGTGAGTTCCCCTAGTGTGTTCTGATGAAACACCGGTGGCAGCTGGCTACTGGTGGAGGCTCTTCTGTTCCTAACCACATACCACCGCTCCCAGGGGGACTTGGCCGAGGCCGAGAGATGCTCCGCATGGACTTTTGCGGCCCTGTGAGTTTCAGTAGTTTGCTGGTAAGTGGCTGACTGGTAAAATCTCTTCTGTTCCTCGCCATGTACCATCGCTCTGAGGGCAGCTTAGCAGAGGCCGAGAGATACTCCACACGACTGCTGGACTTTTGGCGGCCCTTGAATTCTTACAGGTGTGGATAACATGATGGTGGATCCTATCTGTGGTTTATTCTTAGCTGAGAACATGTCATGCATGTTGTTGGCTGCAACCTGCTTTCAACATGAAAGCTTTCTGAACGCATTCATCCCACATGCACAGATGCTATAACCTACCCTTTCACCTTCTAAGCTGTTCATGCACCTAGTAACTGACTTTGTTTACGTTCGTTTGTGTTTGTTTCGAGCATTTCTCGCAGGCGAAGGAAGATGCCAAGGCTCTTCTGAGGGAGATTCGGAGCGTGCACCACCACCAGCATCAGCAGCACCATCACGGCATGGGGACACTGGGTTCATTGGGGTTTGAAGATGAGGATGAGGATGAGGAGGAGGATGGTGATGATGGTGGTGACGATGGAGATGAAGAGATGGACCTTGAGGGCAGTTTTTAGCTGGTTCGGAAATAATTTCAAGGATTCATTGTGGCGATGTGCGATTTATGTACAAGCCTGACAAAACAAGGTTGGAAAATGCCGGTAAACGACTGAGTTGAGATGGTTTGTTTGTATTATACAAGGTTAGACCCAAGCGTGTTGAATGAAGTATGTGGAGAGGGTTCAACTGTCGCAATCTATTGGGGACATTGTTCATTTGTGTATTTGATATTTCCGTGGTGTCTTAAAACCACAGGCTAAAATAGCATGGGGGGGGCTTCAAGAGCGCCGTTCTTGAAAATAGTTCTTTTTGAAAAAAACGGGTTCCCAGTACGATTTTGCGGGGTGCGTTTTTGGGCAGCTGAACAATGATACAAACGCAGTGGCGCCGATTTGACGCGAGTGCGACGAGGCGGGAAACGCGCGCGCGATTCAAATGACTTTTCGCCAACTTGGTGAAACGAAAAAACCTATTGTACCTCGGGAGTATTCGGTGCACGTGTTCAAGCTCACATTACGAAGCTCCCTGACCGCGACTCGTGACTAAGGTGAAGGTAAACTGTGCAGCTTGTGTGCCGAACTGTCAAACATGTGTAGTTATCATGTTTGTATAGACTGTATAGGGTCACCTTCTAAAGAGTACAACATTTAGGTGTATGTTTGTGTACTCTCTCTCTCTAATCATTCAATTCTCTTTCTAATATGGTATCACGCGTAGGTAGGATCCCCCCCCCCCCCCCCCCTAACGCTTCCGCTCGCCCCCTAGCTGGGCCCCGTCGTGCTCCTAGCCCCGTCGCGACCCTCCCTAGACCCGTCGCGCCCCTATCCTAGACCCGTCGCGCCCCTCCCTGGGCCCCGTCGCGCCCCTCCCTGGCCCCCCCCCCCCCCCCCCCCCCCGTAGCGCCCCTCCTGGGCCCCGTCGTGCTCCTAGCCCCGTCGCGACCGTCCCTAGCCCCGTCGCGCCCCTTTCCCTAGACCCGTCGCGCCCCTCCCTGGGCCCTGTCGCGCCCCTCCCTGGGCCCCGTACCGCCCCTCCTGGGCCCCCGTCGTGCTCCTAGCCCCGTCGCGACCGTCCCTAGGCCCGTCGCGCCCCTTCCTGGGCCTCGTCGCGCCCCTCCTGGGCCCCCCCCCATTGCGCCCCTCCTAGGCCCGTAGTGCCCCTCCTGGGCCCCCATTGCGCCCCTCCTGGGCCTCGCCGCGCCCCTCCTGGGCCCCCCATTGTGCCCCTCCTGGGCCCGTAGCGCCCCTCCTGGGCCTGTTGCGCCCCTCCTGGGCCCTGCCGCGCTCCTCCCTGGGCCCCGTAGCCACCCTCCTGGGCCCCGTCGCGCCCCTCCTGGGCCCCTTCGCGCCCCTCCAGGGCCCCTGTCGTGCCCCTCCTGGGCCCCGTCGAGCCCCTCCTGGGCCCCGTCGCCCCTGCTCGGCCCCGTCGCCCCTGCTCGGCCCCGTCGCCCCAGCTCGGCCCTGTCGCGGCCTCTCGGCCCCGTGGCGCCCGCCCGGCCCCTGTCGCAGCTGCCCGGCCCCTGTCGCACCTGCCCGGCCCCGTCACGCCCGCCCGGCCCCGTCGCCCCCGCCCGGCCCTGCTGTGTCCTGCCCGGCCCCGTCGCTGCCGCCCGGCCTTGTCGCTGCCGCCCGGCCCCGTCGCAGCCGCCCGGCCCCGTCGCAGCCGTCCGGCCCCGTCGCAGCCGCCCGGCCTCGTCGCTGCTGCCCGGCCCCGTCGCGCCTGCCCGGTCCCGTCGCGCCTGCCCCGGCCCTCCATACTTCCTGGTACTGTCCCCCGTTCCCCGCACCACTTTGCACCCTCCTGCACTTTCCTGCCCCGCCTTGCACCGCATTGCACCTCACTGGACCGCACTGACCGCGCTGCACCGCACTGGACCGCACTGCACCGCACTGCATCGCACTGCACCGCACTGGATCGTACTGCACCGCACTGCATCGCACTGCACCGCCCTGCACCGCACTGCACAGCGCTACACCGCACTCCACTGTCCTCCACTGCCCCTCATGGCTGCTGAGCTTCGTTTTGATGCTGAGGGTCAGCCTCTGGAGTTCGAGGCGTGGTTGGCTGACCTTCGCCGCCACCTCACTGGTCAGCGGCAGGACGGCCACCCGCTTTCTGCACACCTAGACGGTATGCTCCCCTGCCCTGACCCCCCTGCTGTGTTGCCTGCTGATCCCACGCCCGCTGAGCGCGAGTCCACTGCCGCCGCTGCCCTTGCCCGCTCTGTCTGGCTTTCCCGCGATGCCCTTGCTCAGCTCGCCATTAGCAATGCCCTCCCCCCCCCTGAGCGCCCTCGCTTTAGAACCATTACTACCGCCCAGGCCTACCTCGATGCTGTCATCAAGCGCTATTCTACCCCTCCTGCTGCCTCAGTGGGTCGCCTGATCCTCCCCCTGCTCTTTCCTGACCTGGCGTCTTTCCCCACTGTCTCTGACCTCGCTGCCCACCTGCGCTCGATAGATGAGGCCTGGCGCGCTGCCTGCACTGATGCACAGCTTAGAGTCCACCAGCCTCCCATGACCTCTACCCTCTACCTCCTTGCCACCCGCCTCCCTGACCGCCTTGCCGCCGCCCGCGACCAGTTCCTTAGCATCCACCCTGCTGCTCTCACCCTCACCGACTTTGTTGACACCCTGACTGCCATAGAGACTCGTCACCGCTCCATAGCCCAGGCGAGCGGTACAGTACCGGTCCCTATCTTTCAGGGTTGTGCCCCCGCTCAGTGTACCTTCTCCGACGGCTCTGTCGCTGTGGCTGAGACTGCTGCTGCAGTGCAGTCCCGCTCGGGGAAGGGCCGCCGCCCCAAGGTTGGGAGCGGCGGAGGCGGCGAGGGTGCGGGTGGGGGTAGTGGTGGAGGCGGGTCGTCCGGTGCCGGTGCGGACGTGGGGACCCTGCCCGGTCCAGCTGCCCCGCTGCCTCCACCGTTGCAGCAGCAGCAGCAGCAGCAGTCGCCGCAGCCGCAGCCTCCGCAGCAGCCGCAGCAGCCGCCGCAGACGAGGCCGGCGAGTGCTCTCCCGCCTGGGTGGCCTGGAGCTGGTGGTGGTCGTGCGCGTGGTGGTGCACCGGGTGGTGGTTCTGGAGGCGGGCCCTGTCAGTACCAGATCCAGACCGGTCCTCGCCGCGGCTTCGTTTGCGGTAAGATCGGTCATTCCACTCCTCGCTGTTTTCGTCGTCTGGACGACCTGTTCCGCCAGCGCTTTGGCCCGGCGCCTGACCTCCCGGACTGGCACAGCTTGCTTAGGCGTAGCATTCGGATTTTTGACTTGGACATGGATGCCATTGTAGCAGCCTTGCATGTGATGTATGCCGATGACTCTAGTGTGCTTCCCTCTTATTACCCCGTGTTGCCTAGTGTAGCTGTGCCTAGCGTAGACTCCCCTGCTGCGTCAGGCGTAGGATCTCCTGCTTTGCTTAGCCTCGGTGCTTCCACCGCTTCACTGTCGCCCCGCGCGACTGCTGCGCTTTCCTTCACCTTGGACTCTGGCGCCTCCCGGTGTTTCTTCCGCGACTCCACGACGCTGACGCCGCTGCCTGTTCCCGCTGCAGTTACTCTTGCTGACCCCTCCGGTGGTCCCGTCGTTGCCCGCAGTTCCACCTCCCTTCCCTGTCCGGCGGTTCCTTCAGGTTCGCTCACCGGTCTGCATATCCCCTCGTTCTCCAGGAACCTAGTTGGTGTCGGCTGCCTCCAGGACCTTGGCGTCACCACTACGTTCCCTGGTCACGAGCGGTATGCTGTCTGTACCGAGGCCGCCACTGGTGCCCCCCTTACCACTTTCCCCCGGGACCCGGTGTCCGGCCTGTTCACACTTGACACCGCGACGTCCCCGGCTGGGTCTTCCCCCCAGGTAGCTGCGTCCACCCAGGTTGTTGCTGCGTGCTCCTGTCGGTCCCTCACTCATCCGACTCTCCTTTGGCACCACCGCCTTGGTCACCATGCACTCCCGCGTCTGCGTCACATGTCCCAGCACGGTCTCGTCCTTGGTCTCCCCGGTTCGTTCCCTGAGTTTCCCTCCTCCCCCGCCCCACCGTGCACGCCTTGTGTCGAGGGCCGGCTCCGCCGTGCCCCTCACTCCTCCTCTTTTCCCCCTACCACCGCACCCCTGCAGACTCTGCACATGGACGTCTGGGGCCCAGCCCCGGTCCATGGGCCGCGTCGCGAGCGCTTCTTCCTAGTGCTTGTCGACGACTTCACACGTTACACCACCGTCTTTCCCCTGGAGCGGAAGGCCGACGTGCCTGACGTTCTCATCCCCTGGCTTGTCTCTGCTCGTCTCCACCGCGGTCTCCCTGCCTTGCGCCTCCACTCCGACCGGGGTGGCGAGTTCGCCTCAGGTGTCCTTGGTCGCTTCTGTCGTGCGGAGGGCATCACCCAGACGTTTACCCTGCCGGACTCCCCGCAGCAGAATGGGGTCGCTGAGCGACGCATCGGTTTGGTCATGGAGGTGGCTCGCACCTCCATGATCCACGCCGGTGCACCCCATTTTCTGTGGCCGTTCGCCGTGCGCTACGCCGCTCACCAGCTTAACCTGTGGCCGCACCCCCAGCGGCCGCAGGTTTCGCCGACCCTTCTGTGGACCGGGTCCCCTGGTGACGCGTCTGCGTTCCACGTCTGGGGCTGCCTTGCTCACGTTCGTGCCTCTGGCACGGACAAGCTCACTGCCCGCACCCTCCCCTGCGTCTTCCTCGGTTTCCCCCTTGACGCGTCCGACTGGCACTTCTACCACCCGCCGTCTCACCGTTTCTTTCACTCTCGCGACGTCACCTTTGACGAGTCCGTCTCCTTCTACCGCCGCTTTCCCCACCGTGGTCCCCCGGTTACTCCCCCCCTGTTCCTGGTTCCTCCCTCCCTGGTGGCCCCTGCCCCTCCCCCCCCCCGCCCCCCCGTCCGGCCCCCTCTGGTGTGTCTCACGTCACCCCCCTCCCGTCGGTCGTTCCGGTCGACGAGTCTTCTGACTCTGGTAGTCCTTTGGCGCAGTCCTCGCCGTCTGTCCCTCCCCCGGTGTCTCCTCCTCCACCGCCTCCGCAGCCGCCGTCGCCGCGGCTGCTGCTGCCGTCGTCTCCACCGCCGCCGCCGTTGCAGCCGTCATCTCCGCCGCCGCCGCCGTCGCAGCCGTCGCTGCAGCCGCCGCCGCCGCCGCCGCTGTCGTCGCTGCCGCCGTTTGTGGACTCTGGGGGTGCTGGCGTTGAGGTGGGTACTAGTCCCGGGGCTCCAGTCGTGGCTTGTCCCGGCGGGCCTGGGGGTGGTACCGGTGCTGGTGGGGTTTCGGGCTCTGGGGGTGTCCCTTCTGGGGGTGCAGGTGTGGAGGGTTCGGGAGGTAGCCGTCGCGCAGCTTGTGGCTCTGGTGTTGGTGTTGTGTTGCCGCAGCAGCAGTCCCCGCCGGTGTCCGCCCTCCGTCTGCTCGGCCTTCCGTCCCCTGACCCTGCGCCTGTTCCTCTCCGGCCGTCTCCCCCTCTTCCCGTCTACGGCCCCGTGTTCCCTCCGCCGGACTCGTCCCCGGCTCGTTTTCCCCCTCGTTCCCCACCCGTGTCCCCTCCTCTGTCTCCTGACCCGACGCCGCCCTCTCACGTCTGGTCTCGCCGCCCCTCCCGTGCTCGTCCTGTCTCCCCCGTCCCGCGCAGTCACCCTATGTTGCTCTGCTCCCACGCGTCTCGTCCTCCCCTCCTCCCGTCTCCTCCTCCGTCTTCTCTTGTCGTTGCGTCTCCTCCTCTGTCTGACTACTTTCGTGCCGCTCATCCTCTTGTTCCTCGGGTCCTTGCCTCTCTCGTTACCGACCCGTCTGTTCCAGTGTCGAGTCTTGACGCCCTCGTCGCTGCGGTTGCTGACTTCGCCTCTACCCGCCGCCTTGACTACGCTTCCGCTCTGGTCTCTGACCCTGCCTGTCCTCCGTCCGTCGGGGGTGCTCCTGCCCTCGGCAGTGACGTCCTGGAGGACCGCCAGTTTGAGCTTGCTTTCCTGTCCGAGGCTGCTCCCCATCTCTGTTCCATGCTGCTAGTCCCTGAGGGTGACCCAGACGCTTTTGACATCCCGACCCCTCGTACTTACGCTGAGGCGGTTTCGGGACCCTGGGCCTCTCAGTGGATAGCTGCCATGGAGCAGGAGATGGCATCTTGGAGATCCACCGGCACCTTCGTCGACGCAGTTCCCCCACCTGGGGTGAACGTGGTCGATGGCCGTTGGCTCTTCAAGGTGAAGCGCCCTCCTGGAGTGCCGCCTGTGTTCAAGGCGCGTTACGTGGCTAGAGGCTTCAGTCAGCGCGAGGGGGTGGACTTCTTTCAGACTTTCGCTCCTACCCCGAAGATGACTACTCTTCGGGTTCTGCTACACGTAGCGGCTCAGCGTGACTACGAGCTTCACTCCCTCGACTTCTCCACTGCCTTTCTTCAGGGCAGCCTTCACGAGCAGGTCTACCTGCGTCGTCCTCAGGGCTTTACTGGCACCTTCCCCCCTGGGACCCAGTGGCTTCTGCGGCGCCCAGTCTACGGCCTGCGCCAGGCGCCTCGTGAGTGGCACGACACGCTGCGTGCTACCCTTGCTGACCTGCAGTTCTTTCCGTCCTCTGCAGACCCCTCGCTCTTCGTTCGTGCTGACTCGACTCCGTTCTACATCCTTGTCTACGTAGACGACCTGGTCTTTGCCACAGCTGACAGGGACGCACTGGCCTCCGTGAAGGCAGAGCTGCTGAAGAGACACACCTGCACTGACCTTGGAGAGCTGCGCCGTTACCTTGGCTTGCAGATCTCCAGGGACAGAGCCGCGCGCACCATCACCCTGACTCAGTCACACTTGGTGCGCCAGGTCCTTCAGAGGTTCGGCCTTCAGTTCTCCTCCGCACAGCCCACCCCTCTTCCTCTGGACCACAGACTCTCCGCTCCAGTTCCTGAGGAGTCGGTAGATCCCAGTGGTCCTTACGCTGAGCTAGTGGGTTGCCTCATGTACCTGATGACTTGCACTCGCCCAGATCTCGCATACCCTCTCAGCATCCTGGCTCGTTTTGTGGCCACAGGCAGACACCGACCTCAGCACTGGTCTGCCGCTAAGAGGATTTTGCGTTATCTTGCAAGTACATCGGGCATGGGGTTAGTGCTAGGCGGACGCAGGCCAGTGGTCCTTACTGGACACACAGACGCTTCTTGGGCAGACGACGCCGAGACGCTCAGGTCTTCCCAGGGCTACTGCTTTAGCCTTGGCTCAGGTGCTGTCTCGTGGAGAGCTACCCGCTCCTCGTCTGTTGCCCAGTCCAGCTGTGAGGCTGAGATCTACGCCGGTGCCATGGCGGCACAGGAGCTCCGCTGGCTGACCTTCTTGCTTACTGACTTAGGTGAGCGGCCTAGCTCTGCCCCGGTCCTGTACGCTGACAACAGGGCCATGATCCTCCTGTGTCAGGAGCCTCGACTCGAGGGCAGAGCGAAGCACATCCAGCTGCGGTACTTCCTCCTGCGCGAGCTACAGCAGCGTCGCCAGGCTCGCGTAGTACACTTGGCCTCCGGTGCCAACACAGCTGATATCTTTACGAAGGCGCTTGCGCCTAAAGATCATCAGCGGCACTGTGTACAGCTTGGTCTGGTTCCTGTAGTCTCTCACTTACTCGAGCCTTGACTTTGTACTGTCGTATATATATATGTATACACTCAGACTGGACTTGTGTCCTCTTACAGTGGTTGGACTAGTAGTGCCGCCCTGTACTAGTTCTTGCCTTGTCTGTACTCCTTCTGACTGGTCTTTTAGACCCTTGTCTCAGAGGCTGGACTAGTAGTGCCACCCTGAGCTGCTTGTCTAGAACATTCCCCTATGCAGTCCAGGGGGTGTGTCAAACATGTGTAGTTATCATGTTTGTATAGACTGTATAGGGTCACCTTCTAGAGAGTACAACATTTAGGTATATGTTTGTGTACTCTCTCTCTCTAATCATTCAATTCTCTTTCTAATACGAACAGCCACATGGGTTCCGCGAAATGCGACCCAGGTAAACCTTGGGTTCAAAACCTATTGCACACCCATGGGAGCTCTTGAAAAAAGTGAGCTGTGTGAGCGGTCAGTCGCAACTTGATGAGGCGAGCATCTGATGCCAAATCAAAGTTGCGCACCAATAACATAACAATGCTACGTCGCATTACATACAATTTCGCCTCCCCATACGATTTCGTGATAGAAAACGTACCAAAAAATCTGCCCATAAACAAAACACATTTTCAAGAGCTCCGCAGGTGTGCTATTCTAGCCTGTGGTTTTAATCCCAACCTACTAATTTCGTTTCTTTCTGTCCGTATCCGGTACAATAATCCTTGTCATAGCAATAGCGAAGCTTCAACTGATGGGGAAAGTGGTCTCCCTGATCCACCTTTTTGGCGCGAAAGTAGCGTTCACACGAGTTTCGCCAGGCATCACGAACCACGCGCCACATGAAATTGCGAACATCTCGGCCCTTGGCGAAACGAGTTTTCGCCTCCTCGCCAATCTCTCATAACCTGAAAGGGAGGCTTGGGTTTGGTCTGGAAAGACCAGTCTCTTGGTTTCAAACAAACCACAAGCAGACCAGTCTCTAGGTTTTGGTCTGGTTCCGTGCCAAGCCCTAGAAGCCTAAGGTTTGGTTTGGTTCCGTGCCAGCCTCCAGAAGCCTAGGTTTTGGACCTTCTCTTGGGTCACCATCCCTTTACAGCCTCATTCTAGCAGCCAGACCCCCCCCCACTTTCCAGCCTTTTGTCCTCATCCGCTCTCTCTTGCATCACCTTCAACTCTTTACAACCTCAAGGCTCCCAGCCTGGAAGGGTTGTTCTCTTGGGTCACCTTCATTAGCTCGGCTGTACCACAAGCGAGGGTTGCATCTCCTTTTCAAGAACCTTTCTGACTCCTCCAAGTCCCGCACGCTCTCTAGGATCACCCAGCGATCTTCCTTCAAAGAAGAGATGTCGGCTGGAACAGGCAAGTGATACTTTTCGCCTAGTGCCAGTTTCCCTTCGGATGAGTTGCCGAAACCTCACAGCATGTATCCAGCCTTGAGTTAGGTTTCGGAGTTTTCTTTTTTTCAAAGCATCGCAGCCTTTCACAGTTTCCTAGCTCAGAAGTCGTGGAATGGAGTTCTTTCATGCCTCGATGGCGTCGTGCATTCGGAAACTTGTCTCCGTTTGATCGGCTGGAAAACGAATTTATTTCTTCCAATTCCTGGCTATGCAGTTTTTTTAATTCTGACAAGAAATGTTTGTTTAGGGTCGTGAGTCGTATGCTTAAAGTTTCCAATAGTCGCTCACCTTTCCTAGTCTTATGTTTTTTTTTTTCTCTCTCTCGTCTTGCAGAATCTGGAGCTAATGCTGTCGTGGCGAGCTCAGCTGCAGACGATAACCAGCCAGTCTCCCCTCCACGTCCAGCCGCCCAGTCCGGTGGCGACCGCTCGCCTCACGATGGCCAGAGCTCGCCTCAAAATGGAGAAAGCATGGCTCACGACGACGGAAACGTGGCTGCTGACGGAAACGTGGCAACTAATAATGAACCTGGTGCCAGAAACGAGCAGCCTGACGACGAGCGTAGGCCTGACGATGGGCGTAGGCCTGACGACGGCTCAACTGCACCTGTGGTTTCGCCGTTCGACGCTACCGCCGTAGCTGCACGTGCCGAAGTCCCAGCGGCACCTGCTGCGCCGTTGACGGAAACGGAAGTTGGAGGTGTCGAACCGGAAGGAATGGAGGCGGAAAGAATGGAGACGGAAAGAATGGCGACGGATAAAACGGAGGCGGACGGAATTGAAACGGAGAAAACGGAGGCGGGAAGGATGGAGACGGAAAGTTTGGAGGAAGGTCCAGCTGTTACCGCGTCACAAGCTCTGGACTACCCTACTTCGTCTGCTCCTGCTAAAAACGTTGCTGACGGTCCCACGTCGACTGTTCCGACTGCTGACGTCGATCACGTGGTCAACACTGCACCGGATACGAATGCCTCCGCTGTAGCAGCTCCAAGTGCTGTGGATGATGCGCCGACTAGTATGGAGGAGGATGACGCGGCCAAGTTAGCACAGCCAGTCCAGGACCGTCCCGCTCCGGCTCCGCCTCTTGCGGCCGGTGGTGACCTTGCTGGTGGTGCTGATGTTATTGCCGTTTCCGCAGCAGCAGCGGCGCAGGGTCAGCCTGAGCAAGAGCAGGGGGAACAGGGGATGCGCGCGCAAGGCGTGCTCGCGCAAGGGATGCACGAGCGGAGCCGTCAAGGGGAGAACCCGCAGGAAGACGAGGCGCGCGGCGAGCGGGAGAAGCACGATCTCGACCAAGGGGACGAGCAGGCGCGCGAGAGGGAGAGAGACGCATCGAGCTTTCTTACTGCTGGGACTGTACCGAGCGCGCTGATGCAGGCCGACGCAGAGGAGCAAATGCGCGATCAAGTGAAGGAGAGAGAAGAGGAGGAGGTAGAGGGAAAAACAGCGGAGAAAGTAGAGGGCCCTGCGGCTACCACAGCGGAACAAGAGCAGCAGCAGTTGGGGGGCGTGAGTGAAGGTCCCAAGGCCACACAGGGCCATGCGACTCCCGTTGTTGTTCCTGAACCGCCGGTACCGCCTATTAGCTCCCGAGCACCCATGGAATCAGAAGCGCCTGCAAGCTCACAGATACCCGTGGATTCGGCACCAGCTACGGCGGACTCAAGGCCTTCGCCGCCCCTTGAGCCGCCGCAACCAGTAGAGCAGCTACAACCGCAGGCGCCACAGTCGCAGCCGCTGCAGCCGTCACAGGTGACTGCTGAGTCGACTCAAAAGTCGCCACAGCCGCTAGAGCCGTCACAACCGGTAGTGCCGCCACGGCCTCTTGATGCGCCGCAGGCAGAGCCCCCGCAGGCAGAGCCCCCGCAGGCAGACCCGCTACTGGCAGAGCCCATGCACCATGACTCCCCGCCTGTGGATCCTGCAGAGATCGCGCAGCAATCCGCGCAGCAGTCTGCCCAGCCGGATGGGGTAATCGCAGGGGCGGGAATGGCGGAAGGGGAAGTTGCGGGGGCAGGAATGCCAGATGCGGAGATGGGTGGAGTGGGCGAGGCGGGTGGAATGCAGGCGCCAGAGGCGCACGCTCCCGCGGATGGGGGGTTCCCCGCGCACGTTGCTCCGCTTGCGCCTCTGGGCACTGAGGGGCATCCATACGCCGGTCCTAGTAATGAGCAAATGGAGTATCAGCAGCAACAACACCAGCAGCAGCAGCAGCAGCAGCAGCAGCTGCAGCAGGAGCAGCAGCAGCAACAGCAACAGCAACAGCAGCAGCAGCAACAGCAACAGCAACAGCAACAGCAACAGCAGCAGCAGCAACAGCAACAGCAGCAGCAGTATCAGCAGCAGCAACAACAGCTGCTGCAGCAGCAGCAGCAGCAACACATGATGCCTCATGCCTTCCCCCACGCCCACATAGACCCATCCATGCACATGCATCCTCACATGCACATGCAACAGCAGCAGCAACACGACCATATACAAGCAGCAGCGGCCGCAGCGGCGGCTTCCGCGCACTTGCCCCCCCCGCAACCCCACATGTTCCCCCAGCAGGGGCACATGGGCGCGCCTCAGGCGCACATGCCCCCCCCCCAGGCGCACATGCCTCCGCCAGGCCACATGGGCGCACCCGGGCACATGGGGCCAGGGGGGGAGGTTGTGGGGATGGCTGTAACCGAAGGAATCCCCATGCATCCCATGGCAATGCACCATCCCATGCATCATACAATGCCTCACGCCATGCCGCATACCATGCCGCCAGGCTCAGTCCTCCCCTCCCAACTCGCCCAGCATGTGTCAGTCCTCCATCCCACACCCGTCCACCTCTCTCCCACACCCGTCCATCTCTCCCCCACATCAATGGCCATGGTTTCCTCGGCGAAATCCGAAGGGGCGATCTCAGCCGTCCCTTCGCTGGACCAGCCGCTAATGCTCAGCCGAGCCTCAGCCTTGGCGGCGCTCGGAGCTGACCCCGAGGCTTGGAACCGCTTGTCGGCGGTTCGGCGGCGGGTGGCAGTGACAGGGCAGGTGAAGAAGGAGATATGCGAGCTGAAGCTACAATTGGGAGACGTGTCTCAAGACGAGATGGTGGAGCAGGTGAGATGGTGGAGCAGGTGAGGCTGTGGTGGAGTGGAACAGGTGAGACGGGGAGATACATGGGGAACCCAGAGGTGAGATACATTGCACTCTGAGGGTGGCTGTGGCAGGGCAGGTGTACAGCTGGTATGGCGTGGGGCTCGAAGGTTCTCGCACGACAATGTCAAAGATTCTCAAGGGCGCACTCAGGAGGATGAGGGTGTCGGGTGCTAACCGCTGTCTGCCCTCTTCTTTCTCTTCCCCCTTCCGCCTTGGCAATTCGACTGGCTGTGCAGGTGCATCACAGGTACGGAGTGAGGCTCAGTCCCACAACCGTGTCTAGGTGACTTTTGAGTCAACTCAAAGGTTCCCCAAGGATACATGCACCCAGGTGGCTGAGGGTGTTGGGAGCTAACCCTCTTTCTTCCCTCCCCCCCCCATGCCTTCCTAAACCAATGGCCAGGTTTACAGGAGATACGGAGTGAGGCTCAGTCGCACGACCGTCTCCAAGATCCTCAAGGACGCTCCCAGGTGGCTGAGGGTGTCAGGAGCAGCAGCCAAGCAAAAGAGGTGCCGCATGGCCAAGTTCCCGCAGATGGAGGCTGCCCTAGCGCACTGGTACCGACAGGTGGGTTATCAGTAAAATCTACTATAAGGAGGTATGCGGCACCCCACGTCATATCAGCAGCAGCCAAGCAGAAGAGGTGCCGCATGGCCAAGTTCCCGCAGATGGAGGCTGCCCTAGCGCACGGGTACCGACAGGTGGGTTATCTGTAAAATCTACTATAAAGAGGTATGCGGCAACCCACGTCATATCAGCAGCAGCCAAGCAGAAGAGGTGCTGCATGGCCAAGTTCCCCCAGATGGAGGCTGCCCTAGCGCACGGGTACCGACAGGTGGGTTATCTGTAAAATCTACTATAAAGAGGTATGCGGCACCCCACGTCATATCAGCAGCAGCCAAGCAGAAGAGGTGCCGCATGGCCAAGTTCCCCCAGTTGGAGGCTGCCCTAGCGCACTGGTACTGACAGGTGAGTGATATCTCAGCGTGTTAGCAAATGACTACTGGGGGGTATGCGGCATCTCAAAGGGTGTCGGGTGCAGCAACGAAGCAGAAGAGGTGTTGCATGGCCAAGGTCCCCCAGATGGAAGCTGCTCTAGCGCACTGGTACCGACAGGTGGGTGACCTGGTACTGGCAGGTGGGTGAAGTTGCATTCACTGCTAGGAGGTATGGGACATCGTCAAGGGTGTCAGCAGCACTAGCAGCGACGAAGCAGAAGAGGTGTCGCATGGCCAAGTTCCCCCAGATGGAGGCAGCTTCGGCACACTGGTACCGACAGGTGGGTGATCTCTTAAGAGTTTGCCATTAGAATGTTTGCCACATCTCAAGGGTGTCAGCAGCACTAGCAGCAGTGGAGCAGAAGAGGTGCCGCATGGCCAAGGTCCCCCAGATGGAAGCTGCCTTGGCGCATTGGTACCGACAGGTGCGTGCTGTCAGTACTGGCATGTGGGTGCGCGAGTATTTTGAGTCGACTCCAAATACACCCGCACTCTACCATCATGGTTAACCCTGCTGTCAGTACTGGCATGTGGGTGCGCGAGTATTTTGAGTCGACTCAAAATACACCTGCACTCTACCATCATTGTTAACCCTGCTGTCAGTACTGGCATGTGGGTGCGCGAGTAGGGTATACATGTCTGCTGCGACACCTCAAAGGGTGTCAGTCAGGACGCTGCAGCAGCAGAGAAGCAGAAGAGGTGCCGCATGGCCAAGTTCCCGCAGATGGAGGCTGCCCTAGCGCACTGGTACCGACAGGTGGGTTATCTGTAAAATCTACTATAAGGAGGTATGCGGCACCCCACGTCATATCAGCAGCAGCCAAGCAGAAGAGGTGCTGCATGGCCAAGTTCCCCCAGATGGAGGCTGCCCTAGCGCACTGGTACCGACAGGTGAGTGATTTCTCAGCGTGTTAGCAAATGACTACTGGAGCTGAGACGAGTGTGTCTACCACCAAACTACCAGGCCCTCACCCCTCACCCCACCCCCACCCCCACATCCCACATCCCACACCCAACCAAAACCCCAGGTGTCTTCGATGCACGCCAACATCAGCGACGCCATGATAGTGGACAAGGCTAGGCAGCTGTCAGTGGAGCTGAGCATTCTGCCGGACGAGTTCAAGGTGTCGGACGGCTGGCTCTACCGCTTCAAGCGGCGCCACGAGCTGCCCACTGCACGCAAGCGAGGTGTGTCCAGGGTACTGTGACTTGAACACACTGTAACACCTGGAGAGGGGTGAGCATTCTCCTAGACGAGTTAAGGCGTCAGAAGCCTAGCTCTACCGCTTCAAATGGCGCCATGAGCTGCCGACTGCGCGCAAGAGAGGTATATGCTGGAATGCTCGCCCCTCCCCCACCCCTGCCTCTCCCCCCCTAAGTGGGCAAATTCGTTGGGGTCCCCCAGCGTTTTGCGTAAATTCGTAAGCGTAAACTCGCGTTTGCGAATTTACCTGAAATTCGCGAAACGCTGGGGGAAAATTTTCCGGGCAGCCCGGACAAAAAAATGCGAATTTTACCACTCGATTCGTGACGACTTGGCGAAGCCATCCGTGGCCTTGCCAATTCGCGATTCTAACTTTTGAACCTCCAAACATGCTCCCAACCCCTCCAACTCTTCCAACCGCATCAAACCCCACCGCATCTAGATAACCCAACCCATCCACCACCCAACACAATTTAGGCAACCATATCACGCATCTCACATGCAACTCTACCAGAGGTAGAGTAGATCTAGCTAATCACTCCGCGTCCTAGCTAGTAGATCTAGTAGCTTACCGCATAGACATTAGCTTACCTCACGAGTATGATGTTGCTGTATGTTGCTGCAGGGCTGTTGTTGCGAAGGACCCCCCCCCAAGCTCTAGAACATGCTATGGCCATAAACTTTGAGAAGCAATATTTATTTTGTGCTGAAACTTCCTTGCTTAAAAAGAGTTGCCTGAAACCCCCCACGTCCCCCCTGCATGGGAACTTTTTTTTGGGCCTGCCCGGGCTTTTTTTTCCTGCCCGGGCGGAACGAATTTCCCAACGAATTCAAAACAGGGACCTGGCGTTCGGGCGAATTTACGCGAAACGCGAATTTTCCCACTTAGCTCCCCCCCCCCCTCTCCCCCCCTCCTCTCCCCTCCTCTCCCCCCCCCCGTCTCTCTCTATTCCCCCCCCCTTCTCTCCTGCATGCTCATTTTCGCCTGTTTTCCTCCAATCTCTTTGCATCTGCACCCAAATTCCAGCCCTGCCTGGCATAAAGCCTGAAGACCAGATGGGCGAGCATGCAGGAGCGCTTCCCGCCCCCCAACAAGACTCAGCGGCAGGGCTTCACAGCAGCATAAGTCCCTATGGTACCATGCTACCATATGGCGACCCATCGCACATGCATGCAGCAGCTATGGCAGGTGCAGCAGGAGGAGCGGGAATCAGTGGTCAGCAGCACCCAATGCACCCACACCAGCATCACATGATCCCTCATGACCCATCGGGCATGGGTGCCGCTGCTGCCTCTGCTGCAGGTGCGGCTGGAGCGGGTCTGGGAGGAGCCCTTGGCATGCATGGCATGGCAGGGGGGTCGTTACAGGCACTGCAAGGCAGCCGTGGAGTGGGTTCTGGTGCTGGGGGGCTGGATGGAGGGGAGGGGATGGCGGATGTGATGGAAGGGAGTGAGTCCTATGGAGAGTCGGAGGATGAGGAAGATGAAGGGATGGAGGGAGGCAGTGGGGGGGAGAGTGGGTTTGGGATGGGCGCGAGTAGATGGTCAGGTGGGGGGAGTGGGATGGGGAAGAGGATGCAGATGGCAGTGGCATCGGCTATGAGTGGGTTGAGCCCGGTGGATATAGAAAGGTACTCTCAGGTCAAGTCGCTGTTTGCTGGGGCTCTGAAAAAGCTAGAGTCGTTCCCTCGGCTGTGAAAGTAGCACAATGGTAATGGCGAGGACAATGGCCAGGCTGATGTCAAGCGGCACCAGGAAATGCCTGAGTATCATTGGCGCTGTAGAATCTGAGAGATGTTTAGTGTTCAGGTAGGTTTACTTATACACAGGGATATTTTTCTTGTCTTGCATGTAGAAGAATGAAGTAATGGGGGATGAACCATGCAGGAAGTACGTACCACAAAAATCCACAACATTTCTTTCTTGCCACTCCAGCAGTCTAGACCAAAGAGATGAAATGGGAAGATTTTGTGGCGCCGATACCTTAGGTTGTCACCAAACTTCATGGTGCCCACCAGTTGCGATGCAAAACCACCGCCTGGCCAAGCCAACTTGTGTCAGTGATTGGCTGTCACTTCCTCAGCCATTTTCCCTTGCTGCTCTCGACCAAACCCAGCTTGGCTAGAGCATTTTTCCCATTCTGTGTAATACTGGGACATTTTAGCATCCGGAGACTTCTCAACCCTGCAGCATTGGCTGCCAGATGCTGCAGCACGTTGTCGGTCACTTTTGTGGTGCTGAGTTCAAGTGACTCGAGGCAGCTGATCACCTCCCTGTCCAATTTCTGAAGCCAAGCTCCTGTGACGCTTGTAGACGACTCCAGTATGACTTGCTTCAGAGGTACTTTGGCCAGATGAAGCAGCCCATCGTCCGATAGCTTCGACAGATGCCCAGCGTCCAGCTTCTCCAAGTGCTTGCAGTTGCGGAGGTGCTTGAAGGCAGAATTAGTCAAACCATCACACGAGGCAACATTGAGGGACTTGAGATGAGTGGAGAGATGCTGACCCACGATCCTCATCCCTGCCTCTTTTACGCCAGTGGAGGACAACCCAAGATGCTCTAGCTGAGTGAGGCCAGGGAGCATTTTGGAGAGGGTGCTGCACTTGACATCCAAGCACTCGCTAAGCTCCAGCGACTTCAGGCTCGAAAGTGTGCCAATTGACTTGGCGCCATCATCAGTGACCGCCAGGTAGGAAATGGACAGACCAGAGAGAGCAGGGAGACGGCTGGCGAAGTGCAGCGTTGACCCAGTGAAAGCAGCTTGTTCTAGGGGAGGTGTCTCTGATGAAGATGGGTGACCAGTAGCAGAGAGGCGTCCAGTGATAAAAATAGAGGTGATGAATGGAAGAAGGTCAGCGTGAGCCAAAGGGAGGGCATTGAGAACCTCCTCCACGTTATCATCGCAAACATTGGCGTTGAAGTAGATGGTGTAGAGCCCAGAGTGTTCTTCATGAATACCAACGTACTTCTGAACTGTTTCTTGAGCTTGTAGGCTTAGCCTTGAAGTTGCAGGAGAACTCTCCAAAGGGCTGCCAAAGGTGTTTGGAACATCACGCGTCACCAGTTCCTGCCAAGAACAGAAGACGTAAGTTTCCTGTCATCCAAGGGAATGAAACACGACAAGACGGATGCAAGCGGCTGCTCTTACCGGCTGCTTGCTGCATGGTGTGACTGAATCTTCCCTTCGCCGTTTGTTCTTCTGGAATTCCTTGCCCTGGTCCAGGCGAAGCTCAGCCTTCAGCTGCCGTATCTGCTCTTCATAACCCGTTCGATCTTCCATAATCTTCTCTTCCAACTGCTTTAGTTGTTCCTGCATCTTCGAGTTAACCCCTTCCAGCATGTTGACCCGCGTTTGTGTTGTCCGCAGCTCCATTTCCAGAGCATTCAGTCGGTTCAGAACTGATTCGGATTCACCAGGTTCCTGGCGCACATGCTGCTCATGCACGTCAGGCTTAGAAGGAATCTTAGGCGGTACCTTGCTGGCCGCTCGCCCGCGAGTCCTGTGACCCGAAGTGGCTCCACCCTGAGTCTTTTGGGTTTCAGCCACGGCGGCTTCTTTCGTCAAGACTGTCCGCTTGCGCAAATTGGTGGTTGACTTAATTGGTGATGGTTCTCCAGGCGCATTGAGGCTGGCATCTGCCAGTGGCTTCTTTGCTCGAGTCTTAGGAGGCATCTGGTTCCCCGGTTAGCTCCGAATAAGATATCCAAGTTGTTAAAAAAGTCAAGCGGTGACGAAATCTGTCAGGTAGCCCGCATTAACGGAACCTGCAGATTTTGTGTCTGATGTTAGGATCGGGCAAAACTGGAACTTGAACGAACCACGCGGTCGTTGGAAAACACAGAAAAACGGAACTTGCTTCTCAGAAGCCACGAAGTCGTGGATTCCCGAAAGGATTACCGCGAACAGGACGATTTGAAATAGATCGATGTCGCCCAGAAAAGCCCAATGGGGCGAGATGCAGACTAATCGTGCAAGTTGATGCTTGCGGTATTCGGCAAGCGGAGACCAGGAGGGATCAGATCAGACGTATTCTGAGATTTCAGGGAGGATCAGCCAGAAGTCTGTCAGGGGAGGATGATACGAAATACTAGTGACGGAATGGGATGGTGGATTGGAATGACGAAGGCCTAATTTTCGGTGCGGATAGCCTTCAGGAATCAGGATAATGATGGTTGCTCCCTCAGAAATTGTTGGGTGAATCTGTTGCAACGGCGTATCTGTTTCGCACAAGCTCCGATTGTGTTCGCGAACGAGCTAGTGTTTCGCAACGTCTTGATGCTTTCAAAGTTGGAAGAACCCTGCTCTCCTGACAGCCTGCCCTGCGCTAAGTCTCAACTTTTGAAGTTGATGCGAACGCACAGGGTTACCCTAGAACACAAGAGTGGGTTTGGGGGGAGAGGGGAGAGATCGAGAGTTCGACAGGCTCTGATTGCATAACTCATAACTACACTAGCCTACCATATTAGGCAGGCAGCCATGGCTTTTCTCAGCATAGCACGCTGGCCCGTCCGCGCCGCTTCCTATTGATTCGCGTAATTCTATAGCGTACATCTCGCGGATAAAACGCGCAATTTAGGGAGCGTTCTTGGTTTCAACTCTCGCAGACGAACAGGGCCCACACGGAGCGAGTTCGCGGTTCAGGCGACACTGCGGCACGAGCGCCTCTGCCACTCCCTCGATTGTCTCTTGACGAACGGCGTGTCGCATTGCGATGACGGCGCGTGCAGGCAGTGTGACGCGCGAGTCGCATTGTCCATCTCGTAATCACCACACATCCGACAGACCACATATATCATGCCCTCCTCACCTGAAAGCCGGTCACAAACATGTCCCCACCCTCGCCGTTATGACCCCTGTCGTCTCCCGTTTTTTTGCCTTCCACTTAACTTTTTTTTCCCTTTCCGTTTGCCTTTTTTTTTCTTTGGTTTTTTCGTCAACGTTTCCCCACCGCCCCCTCTCTTTCCTTCCCGCCGTCCCCCGGCGCCACCCCTTCCCGTCGTCCCCCTTTCCCCTTCCCGTCTTCCCCTGTTTCCCATAGCCGTCGTCCCCTTTTCCCCTTCCCGTCGTCCTCTTTTCCCTTCCTGTCGTCCCTGTTTCCCCTTCCCATCACCCCGTCCTGTGACCCGTCATGTCTCTCTTCCCTTCCCGTCGTCCCCCATTCCCCTTCCTGTCACCCCCATTCCCCTTACCGTCGTCCCCGTTTCCCATTACCGTCAACCCTCTTTCCCCTTCCCGTCGTCGTCCCTTTTTTCCCTTCCTGTCTTCCCTCTTTCCCATTCCCATGGTCCCGCTTTTTCCAACTCCTCGCCCCCTTCCCCCTTCCCGTCGCCCCCGTTTCCCCAACCCGCCCACGTTTCCCATTCCGTCGTCCCCGTTTCCCCGTCCCGTTGCCCCGAGGACCAATGCTGTTCACAAGGACTTCTGAGGTTTGGGCTCACAATCACTGGCAGCTCCACCTGCTTCTTGAACTCTCATCCGCCATCCCCCGCTCTGCAGGGCAGATGCAGTCAGAAAACGCCCGTCTTTCTCCCTGTCGCCACACACCTCACTCCGATCACGCTTTCGCACCATCACCCTCAATTCCGTTCCGCATTCTCTTCTCTGCTTTCCCCCACACTCCTCCGTGCTTTCCCCCACTCTCTTCCCTGCTTCCCCCCAATCTCCTCTCTGCTTATCCCATGTTATCCTGCCCCAAACCACTCTCCTCTTTACTTCCGCCTGCTCCATTTCCCCCTTTCCCTCTTCCTTCGCTCCTCCCCTACTCCTTCCTCCCCATCCCTCTCCTCTCCTCCCTCCATCGCCCTTTTCCCTCCCCCTCCCTCTCCTTACCACTTCACAACCCCCCCCTTTCGTTTCTGCCTGAATCCCATGCTCTCCTGCTCTCTCCCATGCTCTTCCCCATCTTCTGTGCTCTCCATCCTGCTAAAGTAACTGCATGGTCAGCTATTGGGTCCGTGCAGATCAATTAGGACACAATGATGAATTGTGGTTCTGTGTTGCCACACCAGAAATGCAGGCGCTCATAGGCCAGCCAAGCCGAAGTCCGTCCATCGCCGTATCCACTCCATCATCCAACGGCAGCTCAGTCGAAGTGAGGAGGAAGATGAGTGGAGGGAGGGAGGCAGAGGGAGAGTGGGTTTGGGATGGGCATGGGGGCTAGGTAGATGGTCTGGGGGAAGTCGGATGGGGAAGAGGACGGCAGTGGCATTGGCTATGAGTGGGTTGAACCCAGTTGATATTGATTGTCAAGTCTCAGTTTGCTGGGTCTCTCTAAATAATGAAAGAATGTTTGCATTGGAACAAATGTACGGTAAGTTCTGTTTTAGTTTACACTGGAATGTCTCAGTTGCTCAACAAGTACCGCAACTTCTCAAAGAGACCAAATAAAAAGGAGTGGGTTTCATGCCATTTCCATCCACAACAACCGATCAGGAGGACAAGGAATTATTCGAATGAAAAGCACCCGGACGTGTCTGGCACCTGCCAAATTGTGTTAACGGTTGGCCAGGGACGACCTCCTGAATTTTCCAAGTACATCTGGCACATTGCATCCCTTGCAGCTGACTTCCAATCCCCTTCCCGCCTTGAACAATGCCATCAGTCCGTGCTGTGTGACGTTTGGACACAATCGGATCCATAGCTTCGTCAGTCCTGTGGCATGGGCTGCCAGATGCTTCAGCACATCGTCGGACACCTTTGTGTAGCTGAGATCAAGTGACTCGAGGCAGCCAATCTCTTCGCTGTCCAGCTTCTGGAGCCAAGCTCCGGTAATATTCGAAGATGACTCCAACGTGACATCCTTAAGAGGCAGCTTAGCAAGATGAAGCAGCCCAGCGTCCGAGAGCTGCAGCAGGTTCTTAGCTTCCAACTTCTCCAAGCGTTTACAGCTGCTGAGGTGCTTGAAGGCAGCATCAGTCAAATCGTCACATGAGGAAACGTTTAGAGATTTGAGATTTCCGCAGAGATGCTGACCCACGATCTTCATGCCTGCTTCTTTGACGCGGGTCTTGGACAGATCAAGATGCTCTAGAAGGGTGAGTCCAGGAAGCATTTGGGACAGCGTGTTGCTGTTGACATTGACGCACTTGCTAAGCTCCAGCGTCTTGAGGCTCGTCAGTTTGCCAATTGCCGTCGCGCCTGCATCAGAAATCGTCTGATATGTAATTGACAGACCAGAGAGAGCCTTGAAGCGGCTGGCGAGGTGCAGCGTTGATCCAGAGAAACCGTCTCGTCCTGTGGGAGGAGTCACTGACGAAGATGGGTAAGAAGCAGCGACAATGCTTCCAGTGGCGGAAATGAATGTGAGGAGTGGAAGAAGGTCAGGCCGAGCCAAAGGGAGAGCCTTGAGAACCTCCGCCACATTCTCATCGTTGACATGGGCCTTGAAGTAGATGCTGTAGAACCCGGAGCGTTCGTCATGAATATCAGCGTGCTCCTCGACTGTTGCTTTTGCTTGTGGGCTTAGCCTTGGGGTTGCGTGGGAACCTTCCAGAGGGCTGCCAAAGGTGCTTGGAACACCAGGCGTAACAGATGTCTGCACAACAATGCAGAAAGAGTTCAGAACCCTGTCAACAAAGCCTCTGAAATCAGCGAGGAGCAAGTAAGCGTTTGTTCTTACCTGCTGCTGGCTGCACGGTGTGACAGACTCTTCTCGCCTTCTCTTGTTTTTCTGACTGTCTGTTCCTTGATGGCGGCGAAGCTCATCCACGGACCTGGTCTTTACCGTCTCCACCATCGATTGCACCCACTGCTGAGTAGCCGCCTCAAGCGGGAGGTTGTTGTGTCTCCTCTCGTCAGGGGCCGGCACCATCACTCCGCCTGCACAACTTCCATTTCCACGACACACGCCTAGCTCAGCCCTCAGTTCCCGAATTTTCTCTTCATAACGCTTCCGATCCTCCTCGCAGCACTTCCGATCCTCCTTTCTCTGCTCTTCCAGCTGCTTCTGCATTTTTTTGTTATCCCCCTCCAGCATTTTTACCCGCGCTTGAGTTTCGTCGAGAACTTTTTCCAAAGCATCCAACCTGTTCAGGAATGACCCTGAAGAACCTCCTTCTTCGCGCACTGGCTTTTCCGGAACGCCAGGCTTGGTTGGTATCTTCGTCGGAATCTTGCTGAGACGTGTTGCATTCCGTTGGCCAGAGGCGACCTCACCCTGATTTTCGTTGTTGTCAGCAGCCACGGCTTCTTTTGTTGCCTTGATGGCTACTCTTGGCTTGCGCAAAGTAGTTGACTTCGTCGGTGATGCTTCTCCAGGTTCATTGACGCTAGCTTCTCCCAGTGCCGACCTTGCTCGGGTAACTCGAGGCATAATATCTTCTCCGCGTAAAGGAATGAAGGCCAAATTGAAAAGGTGCTAAACTTGTTGCGAAGTCAAGCCGCTTTAATGGGACCTGCAGATCGGTGTTTAACGTTAAGATGGGCCAAGCTGAATCCGTAACGGGACAAGGCCTCAAAAGAAGGAGAATGCGAGAACCTGATCCTCGGCAGCCACGATATCATAAGGTCCCTCAATATTAACCGTGAAATCAACGATATGCTGTAGATCGCTTCGCTCAAGCAAGCCTGATGGAGCGAGGTGCAGACCGATGCAAGTTGATGCTTGCAATATTCGGCAAAAAGGTGACCAGGGAGGACCAGGCGTAATCTGAAAGGTCAGGTTCTCTCAGGAACGGATCATCTGAGAGTCTGTCAGGAGGAGTGGATAAATGGAATGGAAAGAATGGGATGGGATGGGATGGATCAGAAATTCGAAGGCCCTTTTGATTGGTGGTGCTGGTTGGTAAACATCGTGGGGCTGGAATCTTCAGGAGGATGTGTTGGCGTTGCTCAGAGCTTCGCCCAAGATTATGGTGTGGATCTGTCGCGACTCGCGACGGTGCATCGGTTTCGCAAAAGCCCCTACATGCGTTCGCAACCGCGCATTTGTTCGCAAACGGCTTGATAAGAGTTCAAAATCGCGAGGGAACCTTGCTCCTCTGACATCCCGCTCAGCTCCTATCACAGTCCAACATTTCTCCTCATTGGAGTGACTCGCTAAAACACCAATGGATCGTGTTCAGGCTCAAGCAGTGTAGGTTCAGCATCGTTCCGTTTCGAAAAATGACACACCAGAAATTCGCAGACGGAGCTCTGTCGCAGTCCGTCAGCTCAGTCGCCGTTGTCCATCTTCCGTCCATCCCACGTCCATCTTGTTCTTCTGTCCGTTCGATCCGTTGCAAGCTCACGCTATCCGTTAACTGCAGCAAGCGTCTTCAACCGCCGTTCCTGCCAGATCCATCGAACGCTGTAGAAGCAGACGGACAATTTGTGGAGGTGCCACGCCACGCCATCTCCTTCAGGGTCAGCAGCAAGCCGTCAATCCCGAACGGGTGAACAAACACTGTTTCCTGCCAAAGGCGCTCTGTCCTGAAGCAATGTTTCTTCCAGCAGCAGCATTTTGCGTCTGATTTCAGGAACCACCTATGACGGACATCTCATCTTGTGAAAAGCAAGGGGAGGCATTACCTTCAGTCAGGCTGAATGACGCCTATGGGGGCAGGAGCTCCAGCAAACCCTGCTTGGGCAAAGTTTGTCATCAACTTGAGCCTTGGGTTCGGTTGACGCGCCTCTGACGCGTGTCCCATGCTTACAGCACGATTCTCGATCAGATAGAATCCGCATAGCCGCCGAACCAATGAACGATCGGCTCCCCGCTGCTAAATGAGGGTTGAGGGTCTCACAAGGGCTCTTTCTTCTGGCGACGAGGGTTTCAACTTTCGAGTTGTGCTCGTTCGCACTTTGTAGAAACCCTAACGGTGAAGTGCTGGCGAATCCGCTAGCTTTCACCCCGTCTCTCAGACCCTAGAGCTTGCAGTTTCCCACACCCCGCGGTTCATCCGTGCATTCCGATTCTCCCTTAGCTACCAGCGAATGCTCGAAAGCCCTGCACATCTTTCGCCATCTTCAGCGCTGTGGCTCCACCCATTTTTGACTCCGTCGCTAGAACAGCGTAAAATGGCCGTTCTCATTGTCGTCCGCACAACCCCCTGACTTCCGCAACTTACCGAGCTCAACGGCGGCCCAGATTCAGCAAACGCTTAATTCCAGTAGACCGTTTTGCATAACATCACGAGGAGGACTTCTCTAGGACCGTACCTAGACACGTCGCAAGGTGCTTATTTCAAAACAGTAACAGCTTGGGCTGTTCTCAGCGTAACACATCGGAAAGCCTGAAGCAGCCTCACAGCTGTCAGTGACAGCAATCCAAGGCAGGCCGGACCGGAGGAATGGCTGGTGGAGGTGGGTCCGACAGCGAACATGAGCGGGCGAGGCTGCGCGCGTGCACGTCCGACATCAAGGCGGCGGACCAGATGACTGCGGAGAGGAGCACGTGCGACGCGCTGGGCTTGCTCCACCCCAGCGGCTGCCGCTTCCGCATCTGGAACGGGTAATATCGCTTGATGGTCTTGCGTGTTTGCATTTTATTTGATTGGACATGCTTTTTTCAGTTGTTTTTTCCTGGACTGTGTGCCCTCCTCCCTGCGTCCTGCTCCTTGCCTTGAGTTACCCTCCGAATGTGCTTGCAGGTCTTCCCCTGTCTGCGTTACACTCCTCGCACTGAAAGCGCCATCACGATTCCTCGTTCCTTGCTGCCACCCCTGCCTCCCCTGCCTCTCCCCTGCCTCCCCTGCCTCCCCTGCCTCCCCTGCCTCCCCTGCCTCCCCTGCCTCCCCTGCCTCCCCTGCCTCCCCTGCCTCTCCCCTGCCTCCGCTGCCTCTCGCTTCGCAGGCTCGTGCACGTGCTGGTGATGTGGTCGTCCTTCTGGGCCACGTTCGAGTTTGCCTTCCTCGCGAGTCCGTCGCAGGGAGTGCTCTACTTCGACGGCGCCGTCTGCCTCCTCTTCCTTGTCAACGTCGTTCTCACATTCAACGCCGCTTATCGCTGCTCCAAGTCCCTCCGCCTCATCACCTCTAAGAGGCAGATTGCCTTGCGGTAACTGCTCTTACAACTTCCTGTGTGCTTTTCCGCTACCTCATTCCGGTGCCACTATCTCATTCTGTTTCAGATATGCTCGCGGCGGGTTGGCTCTGTACCTGCTGTCGTCCATCCCCTGCAACCTGATCTATTTCTGGGCCCATGGCGAGCCAAAAGACCTAATGATCCATGCGAGATTTCACTCTGTTACCTTCCATTGCCCCGGCAGGTACGCTTGCGGTGGGTTGGCTCTGGACCTGCTGTCGTCCATCCCCTGCAACCTTATCTATTTCTGGGCCCATGGCGAGCCAGCATCCGGGGCTTTGGGATACGTTTTTCGAGGCCTCGTTTGCCTGCGCCTCTACAGAGTTGCGCACTTCTACCACGCCTTGTCCTTGTAAGAATTCAACGCATTTCTTCCTTGCTCTTTTCTCGTCCACGTACAACATGCATGACCACGTGGCAAGCTTAGCTTCAACTTTCATCTCCATGCTCTGCTCTGTCGTGTGGCGGCTCTGGGTTCGAATTCGTTTCTTCACGACCCGATCTTCTTTTGCCATTTCTGGTGCTGCATGAGGAGTCTATTTTTGGGGCGCCTCAAAAATAGACCCCTCTGGGCTCGAATTCGTTTTTTCACGACTCTGTCTTCTTTTGCCATTTATGGTGCAGCATGAGGGCGTACTCTGACATCCTTCCGTGATCCTGGCTCTGACGTAGTTTCCATGCCTTTTTACTTCGGAACTCCATGCTCAGTCATCTGTAGACTCCTACGCCCTAGTGTTCATCCAAGGCCTTCGTGTTGAGAGCCCTCCCGTGCCCTCCTCTCCTCTCCTGCATCTTTTCGTCTCTCTACGCTGCCGTCGCCTCGCCCCGTCTTCCTGCTTGCTTGCAGGCTTGGAAGGTCGAATCGCCCCACGTATTTCGCCATCCGTATCTTCAAACTCGTTCTGGTGCGCCCAGGGTTGTGTGTGTATTTGAGTCGCCTCGGAATTAGACTGCTTGCAGGCTTGGACGGTCAAATCGCCCCACGTTTGTCACTATCTGTCGCATTTTGTAGACTTTTGCTAAAGATCGGTGCATCCTCTAATTCGAGACACGTGGCTAAGTTCCTTGCAAGAGGGGAACTTTTGAAGTCGTGCAGTAGCTTCTGTGAACAGTGATTGCCACGTAAATGTTGCCCCTCTTATACGCAAGCCACTTCGCGTTGGCATGTACGTTCATGTGCATGTGCATGTGCCTGTTTTGGTGTGGACGAACGTGACTGCATTAACGGTGCATACATGTCCGCCCGCACCCCTGAACGCTTGCAAAACAATTTCCAGGCGTCACAGATCGCCGCCATGTCCTTCTTCTTCTTCCTCGCTCTTCCTTTCTCACTCACCCTCCTGCTTCCTCCCCCTTCCCTCTCCCCTCCCCTCTCCCCTTCCCCCCACGACAGAGCATCGTCCGTCGCACCTCTTCGCCGTGGCCTACTTCTTCCTCACTCTCATGAGGCCACGGCCCTCGCCCTCTCCCTTTCGTTCTTCCCGTCCAGCGCTTCCGCCCACTTGCCTGCCCCCCCCTCCCCTCCACAGAGCATCGTCCTGTTGTCGCACCTCTTCGCCTTAGTCTTCTTCTTTTACTCACTCCCCTGCTCGCTCTCCCTTTCCACCCTCCACAGAACATCGTCCTGTTGTCGCACCTCTTCGCCGTGGCCTACTTCTTCCTCACTCTCATGGAGCCTGACCCGGAAAACACCTGGATCGGCCAGGGGATCGGCCCGGACTGGCCTGAACAGGTAACGTGGAGGCTTCCGAACGTGAAAGCCCCAACAAAACCTGAATCAACCAAGGGACCGGACGTGCGTCTGGCATCAACAGGTCGTTGCCAAGTTGCCAAGCCGGTACAACCATCCTTCCCAACGGCACTCCCGTTTTTGTCAAACTACTGACAAAAGGAAAGGTCGACAGAAGTAAAGCTGTCGGACTTTCTCCTGCAGGCTCCACTCCCGCTCGTCTGCATCTGGTGTTTCTGCAATACGAGGCAGCCATGCGGTGGCCTATCTTCTGAATGACATGATAACCGAGCGCCCCGTCTTTCCCCTTTTCCAGTGTTCCGAATGACATGGTGCGTGTTTCTCTAATACGTGGCGGCCATGTGGTGACCCGTCTTGTGATTGACAACCGGGCATTCTGTCCTTTCCCCTCTCCTCCGCCGCCCCACCGTTTCCAATCAAGTAGTCGGTGTTTCTGCGTTACGAGGCGGCCATGTGGTGGCCCATCTTCGTCATCACCAGCGTCGGACCCATGCCGTTGTTGTGACTGATGGCAGCGCGTTCTGTCTTTTCCCTCTCCACCCCTAACAACCACCCTTTTCCAACGAGCAGACCGTGTTCCTGCAGTACGTGGCGGCCGTGTGGTGGTCCATCGCCTGATTGATAATCGAGCAATCTGTCCTTTCTCCCTTCATCCTCCCCCCTCCCAACGAGCAGACCGTGTTCCTGCAGTACGTGGCGGCCATGTGGTGGTCCATCTTCGTCATCACCAGCATCGGACCCGCCTACACCTCGGTCACCACAGCTGAGCAGATCTTCAGCTCCGTCTACGCCCTCTTCGGCATGGCAACTGTGAGTTCACACAACCACTTTCACCTCCCTGTAGACTGGTGTGTGCTGTGTGCCGCGTGCTGTGTGCTGTGTGCTGTGTGCCGTGTGCCGCGTGCCGCGTTCTGTGTGCCGTATCACTGTATCACTACAGCCGAGCAGATCTTCAGCCCCGTCTTTGCGCCAGTCTGCATGGCAGCTGCGAGTTTCCCCGCACCCACTTTTTCCATGGCACTGGCAATGGCAAGCAACTGTGAGTCTTTTTGGCACAGCAGATGCACCGTCACCTTCTACATCTGTCCAGACCGCTTGGCGCATGTACAAGTAGCCTCTTAGCGCATGTACAGATAGCTTTTTGGCGCATGTACAGATAGCTTCTTGGCGCATGTACAGATAGATTCTTGGCGCAGGTACAGATAGATTCTTGGCACATGTACAGATAGCTTCTTGGCGCATGCAGACAGATAGCTTCTTGGCGCATGTACAGATAGCTTCTTGGCGCATGTTCAGATAGCTTCTTGGCGCATGGACAGATAGCTTCTTGGCGAATGTACAGATAGCTTCTTGGTGGATGTTCAGATAGCTTCTTGGCGCATGTACAGATAGCTTCTTGGTGCATGTACAGATAGCTTCTTGGCGCATGCTCAGATAGCTTCTTGGCGCATGGACAGATAGCTTCTTGGCGCATGTACAGATAGCTTCTTGGCGCATGTACAGATAGCTTCTTGGCGCATGTGCAGATAGCTTCCTGGCGCATGTACAGATAGCTTCCTGGCGCATGCACAGATAGCTTCCTGGCGCATGTGCAGGTAGCTTCTTGGTGCATGTGCAGCCTTCATGCGAGTCTGAAACACCCTGACAGGCACGATCATTCACGGACACAGACTCACACACTCTCCCAGTATCCGTGAATTCTGCAGGAGACGGACCCTGTGGGAGATCTGTCTGGTCTTTTTTAGAATTCTAAAACTCGAAATCTGCTTCTCCACATACACAACCATGTCTAAAGCCCTAAAACTCCCTCGTGTTGATTCCCATACCCACTCTGTCTTCCTGCCTGCCCCCTCTCCTGTGCCTTGGTGCGTTGATCTACTTCTCAGCTCGCCTACACCCTTGGGACGCCTATTTTTTAGGTGCTTCAAAAATAGATTCCCACTGTCTCCTTTCTTGCCCTGCCCTCTCTCCGGTGCCTCGGTGCGTTGATTTGCTTCTCAGCTCGCCTACACCCTCGGGACGTTGACAATGCTGATGGTTAAGCAGTCCAGCAAGACAATGCAATTCGTGAGTCGCCATTTGTTTACTTGCAGTTTTACTTCTCTTCCTACCGACCGTCCTCCCCGGCCCCTCTTCCGCCATGTCTCCATCTTTCCTTCGCTTCCATTTTATTCATGCCTCGTCCCCCTTCCATCTCTCCTCCCCCTCCCCCTCTCGTCACGCACATGTGTCTTGTCTCCTGGTACATACACACAGCACGAGGGTGCTTCTCTCAGGGCACATGACCTTTGAGTTGGCTCAAAACCCCCCTCGCCTCGCACTTCTGTCTCCTAGCTCACACAGCACGAGGACATGGCAGCTCTCAGCGCATGTGTAGCGCGCACCAACCTACCTATCAATCTGCTCTGCAGCGCCAGCTGACGCAGCAGCTGCGCGTCCAGCTGCGCGTGCAGCTGCAGATGCCCATGTCCTACACCTCCCCCTTTCCTTCTCATTCCCTTCCTCCCCTTCTCCCATCTGCCCCATCCCATATCGACCAGTCCCTCCCCTCCCCCCCCCCCCCCCCCCACCCCCTCCCTCCCCTCCCATGCACACACACAGCACAAGGACATGGCATCTCTGAAGGCCTATGCTGCCCGCATTCTCTCGCCCATCTCACAAATTCAACACTGCACCCCTCTCCTCCCCTCCACACACAGCAAGAGGACATGGCGTCTCTGAAGGCCTATGCTGCCCTCATTTTTCTCGCCCCTCTCACAGGCCCCATCACGCGTCTCTTTCTTCCCCCCTTCCTCCACACAGCACGAGGACATGGCGTCTCTGAAGGCCTATGCTGCCCGCACCAACCTCCCCAGCGACCTGCAGCGCCAGCTGAAGCAGCAGCTGCGCGTGCAGCTGCAGATGCACAAGTCGGACACCTCCTCCTTCCTCTCCAGCATTCCCCACCACCTTCGAGTCACCGTCTCGCGCCAGCTCTACCTCCCCATCATTGAGAACCTTGACGGATTCTGTCTCTGCTCCAAGCCGTTTCTTCACCAGCTGGTAAGTCCGTGCCAACTGTATGCAACCACTGCACTCCCCTTCCTTCCTTCCTCTCCAGCATCCCCCACCACCTGCGAGTCACCGTCTCCCACCAGCTCTACCTCCCCATCCTTGAGGACGTTGACGGATTCCGCCTCTGCTCCAAACCCTTTCTGCATCAGCTGGTGAGTTGGTGCTGACTGAATGCAGCCGCTGCACTCCCCTTCCTTCCTTCCTCTCCAGCATCCCCCACCACCTGCAATTCAACATCTCCCGCCAGCTGTACCGCCCCATCGTCGAGAACCGCGATGGCTTCCCCCCTCCGCTCCAAGCCGTTCCTGCACCAGCTGTTGCTTCCTCGTCCTGTCCTCGTCCTGTCCTCGTCCTGCCCTCATCCTGTCCTCCTCGATGGACATGGAGATGGTGATTGCACGCAACGCCGTTCTTTGCCTCATGCCTCTCTTTGCGGTGCCTCAAAGCACACCCCGTGGCAACTGTCTGTTGTTCCCCTCCGTCAGTACACGCCACCGGTTGTAAGAGATGGACGTGCCGACGATGATTCGAAACGAGAAAGCAGTTATCCAATGAGTGTTCCCCTGCACTGTTCTCCCACCAGTTGCCAGAGATGGACCTGGTGAGGTGACGGTGATGCGATTTCTCAGCATCCCTTGTTTGTTCCCTTGCATTATTCATCCTCCTGCACGCCACCAGGTGTCAGACATGGACGTGGAGATGGTCATGCTGTTTGCCCTTCGTCACATCCATGTGCACCCCTCTGCCACTGCCTGCCCTCCCTTCGTTCCTCCAGGTATCAGAGATAGACGTGGAGACGGTCATGGGGTTTGCCCTTCATCACATTCATGTGCACTGTTTGCACGTGCACTGCGTGCACCTGCACTGCTTGCATGGGCACTGCTTCTACACGGCCCCAGGTATCAGAGATGGACGTGGAGACGGTCATGCGGAACAACATTGTGACATCAGAGGGGGACGTGGCAGCACATCTCTACATCGTGCTCTCGGGGAAACTCGTGCGCGAGGACGGCCCTGCAGCAGCTCTCAACTACGGGGTGGGTCTCTCAGCCTTGGGGTGGGTGGTTGCATGGTCTGTGTATGGTAGGGCCGGGAGGACGGCCCTGCATCAGCTCTCAGCTATGGGGTGGGTCTCTGGCCTGTAAGTTGGCAACGCAATTCTACATCGTGCTCTCAGGCAAACTGGTCCGCGAGGACGGCCCCGCAGCAGCTCTCAGCTACAGGGTGAGTTGAGTTGTGCTGGATGGTGTGAGCATGATAGGTCATGTCATGGCATACAGCACGGCTCCCCCTTCCTAGCAGCAGGCTCGAGACGGTGATGTGGAGCGTGCCGCACCTGTTCACAGTGCTACTTCCCTCAGCACCATTGTCCTGTCCCTCCCCCCCCCTATCTTCCCATCCCATGCTGGGCTCTTCCTTCCTGTCAGAGGGCTCAGTATTCGGCAAGACAATGCTCATGCGCGAAGGCCACAGCTGTTCACTCCACTGTGCTCCCTGCCTCCTCCCCTCTCCCTCTCCCCCTTTCCGTTTCCACAGGGCTCCTCGTTCCTGTCAGCAGGGTCAGTTTTCGGCAAGACAGCAGTGATGTGCAACGTGCCGCAGCTGTTCACAGTGCGAGCGCTGGAGCACAGCCAGCTGCTGCGCCTCTCCAAGTCCGCCTTCTCTGCCATCGCCAAGGCCTACCCCGCCGACTCTGCTGTTCTTTTCTCCGCCCTCAAGCAGGTAACTCAACCAGGTTAACATCTTTACTTTGTACCCAACCTGTCACCTCCAAGTACGCCTTCTCTGCCATCGCCAAGGCCTGCCCAGCAGATGCTACCGTACTCTTCTCCACCCTTAAGAAGGTAAACTAAAGCAAGTGACTGGCGCTTATAAGCACCCGCATCCTTGAACCGCGTACAGGTATACCTCCCATCTCAGCTGCTGCGCCTCTCCAAGTCCGCCTTCCCTGCCGACTCTCCATTCTCTTTTCAAGCCTTCAGCAGGTGCGCTGGCAGTTACATCAGTATCCAGATTCTTGATATGCTGACGCCAGGTTCGCAGCGCCTCTCCAAGTCTGCCTTTCCTGCCATCGCAAGGGCTATCCCGCCGACTCTGCCATCGCAAGGGCTACCCCGCCGACTCTGGCATCGCAAGGGCCACCCCGCCGACTCTGCCATCCTCTTCTCCACGCTTAAGCAGGTAAACTCAAGCAGGCCCAGCAGCCCTGGTGCGCACGCCATCGGATCTGGCCGTGTCTCGCCGGGCGTGGCTCGCAACACGCCCAGCTTCACCTCCACCCCCGAGGAAACGCAGACGAACCAGCAGAGGTTCCAAATCTCTTTCTTCCCCCGTTCCCCTTCGTCCCCCCATTCCCCCGTCCCCCCATTCCCCCGTCCCCCCGTTCCCCCGTCCCCCCATTCCCCCGTCCCCCCATTCCCCCGTCCCCCCGTTCCCCCGTCCCCCATTCCCCCGTCCCCCCATTCCCCCGTCCCCCCATTCCCCGTCCCCCAATCTCTCACCAGAACATCGGGCCTGCTGCGCTTGTCCGCACGCCATCGGAGCTGGCTGTCTCGCAGGGCCTGGCTCGCAACACGCCCACCTGGATGAGCTTCACCTCCACCCCCGAGGAAGACGCAGTGGCAGAGGGAGCAGAAGGAGCAGTCAAGGGAGGAGGAGACTTCGCAGGAAAGGGAGCAGCCGCAACGATTATTAAAGTCGAGATGGCAGAAGGGGGGGATACCGCAGGGTTGCAGCCTGATGCTGATGCTATCGCAAGGTGTGGATCTTCTTGTGCGGGTTTGCCCGTTTTTGTGGCTAGGTGTGATGAGACGTTTTTTTTTTTTTTTTTTTTTTTTTTTTCGGCGCCTCAAGAATCGTTGCAGCCTGATGCCGATGGGATCACCAGCTGTGGATCTTCTTGTGCTGGTTCACCTCTCTTGGTTGCTAAGTGTGCGTGCTGGCTATACCCTTTTGTGCCGGTTTACCTCCCCGGTGTGTGTGCATTGCTGCCAGTGCTGCCAGCGCCCATCACAAGCAGCAGCTCTCTTTTCCGGCGCCTCAGAAGCTCCCCTCTGCCCATGTCAGCAGCTCCCCTCTGCCCATGTCAGCAGCTCCCCTCTGCCCATGTCAGCAGCTCCCCTCTGCCTCCTCCATCCAGTGTATGCGCTGCTGCCAGTGCTGGCAACGCCCATCGCCTGCAGCGGCTGCTGCGTTCTGATCCACTCCTTTCCCCTCCTCTCCTCTTTCCTTCCCTTACGCTGTTTAGGACAAAACAATCCTTTTCTTCCCCCCCAGTGTGTGCGCTGCTGCCATTGCTGGGGATGCCCATTGCCTGCAGCAGTTATGTGATCATGCGCCCCAAAATTCCTCTTCTTTCCTACCTCGCCTCCCCTCCCCTCTGTTCTGCCACCATCGTTTCCCCCTCCAGTGTATGCGCTGCTGCCAGTGCTGGCAACGCCCATCGCCTGCAGCAGCTGCTGCATTCTGCTCCTCGGCTCGCCCGTGCCCACGACTACAACGGCCGCACCCCTCTGGTACGCTGTGTGTTTCCCCCTTGTTGGAAGCCATGTGTCACATCATATTCTGCATGCCCTGTGCACACGACTGCGACGGCCGCACCCTCTGGTATGCCGTAGTCCGTGTGTCACCTTGTCCTGTGTTGCATGCCTGTGTCACCTTGTCCTGTGTTCGTGTCACCTTGTCCTGTGTTGCATGCCCGTGTCACCTTGTCCTGTGTTGCATGCCCGTGTCACCTTGTCCTGTGTTGCATGCCCGTGTCACCTTGTCCTGTGTTGCATGCCCGTGTCACCTTGTCCTGTGTTGCATGCCCGTGTCACCTTGTCCTGTGTTGCATGCCCGTGTCACCTTGTCCTGTGTTGCATGCCCGTGTCACCTTGTCCTGTGTTGCATGCCCGTGTCACCTTGTCCTGTGTTGCATGCCCGTGTCACCTTGTCCTGTGTTGCATGCCCGTGTCACCTTGTCCTGGGTTGCATGCCCGTGTCACCTTGTCCTGTGTTGCATGCCCGTGTCACCTTGTCCTGTGTTGCATGCCCGTGTCACCTTGTTGCATGACACATGTCACCATCTAGTGTGCCAAAACACGCACTTTCCCTCATCTCGCCTGTTTCCCCCACCCATACAGGACACGCTACCAGTTTACAACACACTTGTTTTTCCTCACTATATTCGCCTCACTCATTTCTTCCTCTGCTCACTTCCTCCGTCACCCGTGCAGCACGTGGCAGCAGCATACGGCCACGTTGCCTGCATTAACGTGCTTCTGCAGAATGAAGGGGTCGATGTGAATGCAGCTGGTGAGTAAAATCTTCTAGACGGGACGCTGGACCATTGGATGTTGACGCAATTCTCGTGATCTCTGCAGTATATGGCCTCTTATTGCCTGCATCAACCTGCTTCTGCAGAGTGAAGGGGCCGATGTGAATGCAGCTGGTAAGTTAAATCCTTTTAGGTGGGCCACTGGACCATTGGATGTTAACGCAGTTCCCCTGCTCTCTCCAGCATACGGCCACCTTGCCTGCATTAACGTGCTTCTGCAGAGTGCAGGGGTCGATGTGAATGCAGCTGCTAAGTAAACATCTTTCTAGACTTGAAACTGGCCAATCGCATGCTAGTTAGTGCAACCCTTCTACACTCTACGGCATGCACCAGAATGAGGAGTCTATTTTCTGAGCCGCGTCACTGGACACTCACATGTTAGTTAGCACAAATCTTCTGCACTCTACAGCATGCACCAGAATGCCCATCCGCTGCCCCCTCCCTCTCCCCCTCCCTCTCGTTACTTCAGATCGCGGGGGCTCCACACCTCTCCTGGAGGCAGTGAAGAACGGCCACAGCAAGGCAGCGCAGGCACTGCAGGCAGCCGGCGCTGCTCTCCTCCTCAAAGACCCCGGGGCTACTCTCTGCCAGGTCGCTGCCTCTGCTGCTGCTGCTGCTGCTGCTGCTGCTGCTGCTGCTGCTGCTACTGCAGGTGGTTCTGCCTCTGCTGCTGCAGCAACAGGGACAGATGCAGGAGAAAGCAAGAGTGCAGCAAGTGCCACTGCCACCGGCACAGTGGGCTGCATGACTAGTGGTAGCAGGAAAGTGGTCTGCAGCCCTACTGGCAGCAGCAGCGGCGGCAGTGGCGATATAGAGACGGGTGTTCCTATAAAGGATGATTCTGAGCTCGCAACCCCCACTGCCAGCAAGAGCGGCGGCAGCAGTGTGGAGTATTTGGAGCGGCTGCTGGCAGCAGGAGCAGACGTGAATGCGCAGGACCATGCTGGCTGCACTGCCCTGCATGTTGCCTGCGCTAACCGCAGCATCGCCGTTGCTAAGGTGAACTTAGATCGCGGATTCGGTTGCATCCCCTTGTCCCCTTCCCTTCCTCCCTTGTCCCCTTCCTCCCTTCCTTGTCCTCTCTTTCCCTTGTCCCTCCCTCGTCCCTCCACACACTCCCTCTCAGCAGCTCCTGTCTCTTGTTTCATATCCCCCCCCCATCATGACCGTTCCATAGTCTGCATTCCCTCCCACCGTGTCCCGCCATTCCTTATCCCTCCCTCGCTGCCTCCAAGCTGCTCCTATCTCATGCAGCCAATTCCTATCCTGCCCTTGACCATCCCTACCGCGAACCCCTAGCAGCTGCTCCTGTCCTGTCCCATGGGGCGGATTTTCATCTGAAGTATTCCCTTGTCCCTCCTGAGGCGGATCCCCATCTTGAGTTTTCCCTTATTCCCGTCTCCTCCACTGGTGTCCCTCCCTCATCACTCCCTCGCTGCTGCTCCTGTCCCATGGGGCGGATCCCCACCTAGAGGATGCCAGTGTCACCATGCCTTACGACATCACCAAGGCTTCCCTCTCGCCCCACCTGCTCCTCTCTTGTCCCCCCCTCGCCCCACCTGCTCCTCTCTTGTTTCCCCCCCCCCTCTCGTCCCTTTCTCTCTTGTCTCTCCCTCACTCCCTCTCATCTGTACTCTCTCTTTTCTCTCCCTCCCTTCTCCCTTGGCTCCTCCTCACTCCCTGCCAGATCCTCCTGTCTCACGGAGCCAATCCCCACCTAGAGGATGCCAGTGTCACCACTCCTTACGATATCGCCAAGGCTTCCCTCTCGCCCCACCTGCTCTCTCTCTTGGAGGGCTCGACTTGAGGAGACTTGTAAGGGCAACTCGTTTGTTGCTTGAATTTAACGATGCTTGCCCACTCAGCTTTCTGCGGAGTTTAAGCACGGCATTTGTGGTGCTATAATGCTAGGTTACTTGACGTGCGCTGATGGATTTTGATACAGTTTCTTCATGTTTTGTGCTCTATAAGTGGGCTAGCATTGTGGGATATGAGATTGAATGTTTGAGCACGTGTTTCCTTGACGTGATTACCGATAAGAAGCGAAACTACAGGGTGTAGTGTACCCTTTCTTGATTGGTACCTGAGAGTGCCCCTGTCATTCCCATGCATGCACCGCACCCTGCAAATCACTACTACATTGCAGCATGGGCACTTTCTGGAATGGTGCAAGCAGTGGGGTTGGTTGGTCGCCCGTCGAGGGGCCCCAATGGGCGTCCAATGGGCGACAGTAGGGTGCAGCCCGTCGGAAAATGGTTCAGTACATTGAAAATGCAAGATTTCTAAACCGCCCTGTAGTAAGCGACGCCACGACCAGAGGTCGGCGTCTTAGGAGGCGTGAGTGGGATCGAAATAACGGCCTCGGATGGCGCACCTATGGAATCAGGGCTGACGTTTCAAAAAAATCCACCCTGAGCTGTCGAGTAATAATAATAAAAACCCTGAGGGCTGTGTTTTGAAAAATTGCCTACCCTGATCTGTCAGTGTTCAGAAACTTGAAACCCTGAAATTTTCAGGGTTCATAGAATGCAATCAGGGTCGAATTCAGCATGCCCCAACTGCCGCATAATCTCCTTTCGTAGACAGGGTCTTCGCTAGCCATTTTCCTAAACGGTTAGACGAGGGGGGCTAGGGTGGGTGGGGGGGCGGGGATGTCTGTTTCTGATTTCCCAGACGAAGTGAAAATACTAACTCTAACAAATGGGACGACTCACAGCTCAAAGTGGGGGGGAAATCGAAATGAGGGGAGGGGGGAATTGAAATCGAGGGGAAAGGGGAGGGAATCAAAACCAAGGGGAGCGGGGAAGCGAAACGGAGGGGGAACGAGGATCAAAACGGAGGTGAGGGGGGGATCGAAATCAAGGGGAAGAGCGGACGTAAGTGAGGGGAGACAAAGCCCTCTCAATTGGCAAATGAGCGCCGTGCGTGGGAGCGACTTCGCTCGCTTGCAGCGTCATGGAATTGACTTCAAATGGCAAGAGAAGTCTGGGTGTTAAAATGAGCTAGCTAGGTAGGAGGAGCCATAGATGGCGAGAGGTTTTAGGCTAGGAGAAGTTGACGAGAGAGAAGAGAGTTGAGAATAGAAGAGAGAGGGATACAAGGAGGGGTGTTGTACCCTCTACAGTAAGTTTCAGTAACGCCTACCAAGCCTACAATTGTATAACATATGTATAATTTAACACACCCCCTAGGCTTGGTAGTAGAAGAACCCACACACACCCACACCCCCTAACCTAGCACCCCCAATTCCCAGTAGCAGCCACGACTACTCTGGCATGGCCAACCCCACGGCTCGGGAGATGGCGACGGCGGCAGTGACGACAGCGGCGGCGGCGGCGGCGTGCGACGGCAACAGGCCAGCGGCGACAGCGGCGGAGGCGGCTTCGATGACAGCGGCGACGGCAGCGACGCCCGCCCTCTCGGCGGCGTGGCCAAGCTCCGCGACGATGGGGAAGACCCTCACGAGTCAGGCGTCGGCTGTGGCGAGGAGGAGGGGACGCAGGGGAAAGGGAGGGGGGGGGGGGGGGGGGAGGTGCGTGGACCAGCATCACGCCCGTGGCTGGCGTGCGGGCATCAGGACCGGCGGCGCCTAAAACAGGGTGCTGGCCGCTGCCGACCATGCCGTACGCGCGCTGGCAGCACGACGGCGCCGTCACGCCGCCACGGCTCGACGTCGACGACGCCGCCACGGCGTGACGTCGACGCCACGATAGCGCGACGCCACGACTGCGCGACGCCACGGCAGCGCGTCGAAACGGCCGCGGCAGCACAACGCGGCCGGCTGCACGACGACGCCGCCACAGCAGCACGACGCGGCCGCCATGGCAGCGCGAGAGGGAGAGGAGGAGTGCGCGGTGGAAGCGTGGGGAGCAGACCCGGGAAGGGCAACCTGCTCTGTTACCATGTTAAGATGAGCTAGCTAGGTAGGAGGAGCCATAGATGGCGAGAGGTTTTAGGCTAGGAGAAGTTGACGAGAGAGAAGAGAATTGAGAATAGAAGAGAGAGGGATACAAGGAGGGGTGTTGTACCCTCTACATTAAGTTTCAGGTGCGCCTACCAAGCCTACAATTGTATAACATATATATATTTTGACACTGGGCCGTTAATTACGAGAACCCATCGACGATTGATAAATCTCAAAACGATCGCAAATCGGTCGTGACCGTCAAAGCGTGTTGGACTTTTAGTTATATCGCACGGGCAGTTGGCGGAAATTCTTCCAGAAGGAAAACTAATCTCACTCCTCCACTGGATTGCCAAGTTCTCAGGGTTTGTAGGGGGGGGGGTGATGTGTGTATGTGTGTGTGATTTTTTTTAATTTTTTATTTCATAGCACCATAAAAGATATACAGCACAAAGATGACATTCAGTCGTAACTAGTATGGGGGTGATGTTGAGGCCTTAGCCAATTATATGGGTTGCGGGAGTGTGCGAGGGGGAATGTCCGTACACAAGGACTTAGAGAATAATTTTTTGTTGAGGAGGGTGATGTCTCTGGCTATTAGGACTTAGCCGATATTTTGTGGGGTTTTGTTGGGTGTGTAGGGGGAATGTCTGTACAATAGGAGCCGATTTTCGTGGGTTGCTTGGTATGTGAGGGGAATGTCTCTGGAGATTGGGGATTTTGACGAAATTTCAAGGCTGTGAGCCACATGGATGTCGCACTCAGGGTTTGTACGCATTGCTCCCTGAAAACTCAGTATTTGCATAACTCTAACCCTGAAATCCCAAGAGTTCATAAACTTATAACCCTAAAGGGGCTAGGGTTAAAAAAAGCCCAACCTTGAAAATTAAGGGTTGGAAAAAAAATTACCTTGTGAAATCAGGGGCTGCCCGCTATGAACATGAAATCATGATCGGTGTCGTCTCACGTCGCCACATGCGCACGCCGATTGCCATGATTCATCGACGGCGGTCTCCAATTTGCCGGTTTGACGGGACATTCCCGCAACTAATGAGCGGGCTTCTTGCAAAAACGACATGTTCCATTTCACACACATTCTCGATTCGCGTTGGCCGGCCCTCCGTTTGACAAAGTTGAGGCCGTCACGCCACCGTTTGAGTTGCCACGAGAGATGCCGTCGGTGCGCTGCTTGAAGTTACCCGATCCTCTCGCCTTCGCATCCGGAGAGAAGTGTGCCGAGCCGATTGCATCGCCATGCATGCGGTTGCGCATCGGCTATTCATTGATGAGACGTGATACCATGTCTTCCTTCTTCCAATAAGCTTTAACGACATCCAAAGTTGTGATGATGGTCGACCATTTTTCGCCGAGGCCCGAGAGGAGAGTCATGATCCAATCGTTTTCGTCAACGCCTGCGTCGAGCTCAACCATGCGCTCGCCAAGCTCCTCCACACGATTCACATACGCGCGCATCATCTCACCGTCCCACATCCACACTGTGAAGAGTTCGCGACGCGCGTGAAGCTTGCCACGAAGGGACTTTGTGATGTGCACGTCCTTGAGACGCTGCCACGCATCACGAGTCGCACCTTCGCGGTCCATGCACAAACTCACGACGGGTACAAGTTGAAGACCAAGCTCGGACTTGAGGAAGGTAAAAGCCTTTTTGTCCTTCTTCACCCACGCCTCGCGTTCCATGGATGGAGCATCCGCAAGGGGTTTCAATTCCGAGCCATCGAAAAATCCCCACAACTCGTGCTCCATTATGTACACTTTGAGCTTGAAGCGCCACGAAGAGAAGTGCTCCCCGTTAAAAAGTGGCACCACGCTCATGTCGACAAAATGTGGTGTCGACGTGGATTCAGGGTAACCGAAGAGATTGGGAGGTACATTCGACAAGGACGCCGTCGTGGTAGAACCCATGTCGAGAGAAACGATTGATCGTGTACTCATAACCTAGTTCGAAGACCATGAAAGATTTATAAACCTCCCTGTAGTAAGCGACGCCATGACCAGAGGTCGGTATCTTAGGAGGTGTGAGTAGAATCAAAATAACGGCCTCAGAATGGTGCACAGTAGCACTTGGAATCAGCCCGAAAGCTTAAGAATTGAGGAAGAACTAATCAATAATATAGAGGTGGGTACAAGATACGTCGATGGAATGACAATACTGTGTTTTCTCGTTGGATTTTAAAGCCCACGTTCCAAATTAGTTACGCAGGCATCAAACTGGGCCCAGTTTGATGCTGCCCGTGCTCGCGAACTACCCAAGAAAAAAAAAAAGGAACCGACCACCACTTCGCCACCGTGAGAGGCAAAACCGAGGCTCGTATATCTACGGTAGAAATCAACTGTACAAATTGGGCCCAGTTTGATTCGTGCACTCTTGGCCGTTGGATCGGTCTGGACAAACCCAACTTCCTTAAATCCCTGCTCTCGCTAGGTTTCCAATCGACGGCTGTAATTGTGCTTACAAATTGGGACTTCATGTGTTCCTGCTTCTCGGCTATCAGCTCTGCGTTTGGCTCCACTTGAACTCCCAAAATCAAAATGGGCCCATCTTGCAGACGAAATCCCCCGCGAAGTAACGAAATCACATTATTTCGCACCCAGTAAAACAATTGTTTTTTCCACCCGCCCAGCCCAAATTTTGCCCGTTGACTTGCGTGAACTAATTCAGGATCTTGCCGCGGTGCAAATATAGCTAGCGAGGTTCAATTGTTTATAAGTTGAAAGGCTAGGTTACCTGGTGAGGCAATGCTGCCTAGGCGAGAGCTCGCCAAAAACCGTGCAAAAACTTGAACCAGAATAGTGCACTGCAAACCTCGAAAGTTGTCACTCTGCTCCCCATGCGTTTGATTCCCCTCGCCTTGTTTCCTTTCCCTGAGCCCATTTTGTTCCCCCCCCCAGGCCCCACCCCGCCCTCACTTTCCCACTTCCCCCACTCCCGCCAGTGCATTTTCGAGCTGGAATATACCCAAGGGGCGATTTCGATTCCGCCTCGGGGCCCCGTCATTTCCGCCAGCGACGGTTTTCAAAATGTTTTCAACACCCCGCCCACAAAACTCCCCCTGCCTTTCCCCCCTAGCCCGCAACATCCACCTCGGATCCACAGGCAAAATCAAAATCAAATTACACCGTGGCGAAATTACCAA